AGACTTAGCAGTCTTGTACTGGCCAAAATGCGCGCGCTCAGCAGGCGGCAGGTGATTGTGAACAGCAAGGCGAGCAACAGCATCACGAGTGGTCCACTGCGAGCGAACAGCACTGTCAGCAGTGGCAACAGGAGCAGTGGAGATACCGGACGTGTGATCGAAAAGGGATACCCCATCCCTAGAGTCACACTGAAGAAAGAGCTGTAGGTCGTCAACCCACACGTCAAAGTCAACTGCACGCCCCTCAGCATCAACGGTGAGAACAGTAGGGCTAGCCATAGTAGCAGTAGCAGCAGTAGCAGCAGTAGCAGCAGTAGCAGCAGTAGCAGCATGGGCAGTGCAAGAAGGAGGGCAGTGCGGCTCAGTAGGGCGGCGCGGCTTGGCTGGGCGGCGCGGCTCGGCTGGGCGGCGCGGCTCGGCTGGGCGGCGCGCTCGGCTGAGCTGCGCGGCTCGGCAGGGCGGCGCGGCTCGGTTCCTGGCGGCGCGGCGCGGCAGGGCAGCAGGCGGCGGGGCGGCGCGGGTGCAGGGCAGGGCCGCAGCTGGCGGTTTAAGTCAGGGCCGCGACAGCAGGGGCCTTGACAGCAGGGGCCGCGACAGCAAGGGGGGGGGGCGCGACTGCAGGGGCCGCGACGGCAGAGGCCGCGACGGCAGAGGCCGCGACAGCAGGAGTGGCCGCGACTGCAGGGGCCGCGACAGCAGTAGGGGCCGCGACAGCAGCAGGGGCCGCGACAGCAGCAGGGGCCTCGACAGCAGTAGGGGCCGCGACAGAACAGGGGCCACGACAGAAGTAGGGGGGGGGCGCGACGGTAGCAGGGACCTTGACGGCAGCAGGGGCCGCGACAGCAGCTGGGGCCGCGACGGCAGTAGGGGCCGTGACGGCAGTAAGGGCCGCGACAGCAAGGGGGCCACGACTGCAGCGGGGGCCGCTTCGACAGCAGAGGCCGCGACGGCAGTAGGGGCCGCAATGGGGCCGCGACGGCAGTAGGGGCCGCGACGGCAGCAGAGGCCTGGTCGGTAGCAGGGGCCGCGACGGCAGCAGGGGCAGGCGCAAAAAACGCTCTTCGGGCAGGGCCGGAGAAAAAAGTTCGTGGTGGGCCCTAAAAACGTTCCCACTAGGGAACCTGCTCATAATACCATGTTAGAATCAGGAACGGAATGAATGAACTAGAAAGCAGGTGGGTACAAGTAGGAAACCTAAAAGTGTTGTACCCTATATGAACTACCCCACTACAGCCTAAACAGACTATAGCAGATAAGTTTGACAGATCCGGCTGCGCCGCCCACCTGGTTTCACTGGGACGTTTCCTGCAGGTACTCAGTGGAGCCTCCGCCGGCCAGTCTACGGTCTCCGCCAGGCGCCTCGCGAGTGGCACGACACACTGAGGACTACACTTGCGGCTCTTGGGTTTGCTCCTTCTACAACAGACACGTCGCTGTTTCTACGCACCGACACCTCGCTGCCGCCGTTCTACGTCCTAGTGTACGTCGACGACCTGGTCTTTGCCACTGCTGACACTGAGGCACTGACCCTTGTGAAGTCCGAGCTGCAGAAGAGACACACCTGCACTGACCTGGGTGTACTGCGCAGCTATCTTGGCCTGCAGATCACCCGGGACAGAGCACGGCGCACCATCACACTGACTCAGTCACACATGGTGCACCAGGTCCTTCAGCGCTTCGGCTTCCAGTACTCCTCGCCACAGCTCACTCCTCTGTCTACCAGCCACTCGCTCTCAGCTCCACCTTCGGACGAGTCCGTAGAGCCGAGTGGTCCGTACCCAGAGCTTGTGGGTTGCCTCATGTACCTGATGACTTGCACTCGACCCGACCTCGCGTACCCTCTCAGCCTCCTGGCTCGTTACGTGGCTCCCGGCAGGCACCGAAAGGTACACTGGGATGCCGCGAAGAGGGTACTGCGTTACTTGTGCAGTACGTCAGGCATGGGGCTCGTGCTTGGAGGACGGGGTCCAGTTGTCCTCACCGGTCACGCAGACGCCTCTTGGGTTGACGACTCAGCTACGCAGCGGTCGTCACAGGGTTACACCTTCAGCCTCGGTTCAGGCTCTGTTTCTTGGCGGTCTACTCGCTCGTCTTCGGTTCTCAGCTCCAGTTGTTAGGTTGAGATCTACGTCGGGGCCATGGCTGCTCAGGAGCTACGCTGGCTCACCTACCTGCTGACCGACTTGGGAGAGCAGCCTCGTTCGCCACCAGTTCTGTACGTAGACAACAAGGCCATGATTGCCTTGTGTCAGGAGCACAGTCTGGAGCACAGAACGAAGCACATCGCTCTGCGATACTTCCTTGCTCGAGAGTTGCAGCAGCGTGGCCAGCTTCGTCTTGCGTACGTGGCCACTCGGGCCAACACTGCTGATGTCTTCACCAAGGCACTTCCGCCTAGTGATCATCAGCGCTTTGTTACTGTGTTAGGCCTTGTGCCTACTTTGCCTCACTTGCTTACTGCTTGACTCTGCTTGTACTGTGATCTATATATATACCTGCATGCTTGCACTTGCTAGGGTATGATCACTGTATTGTTTGTTCTCTTTATATAACTCTGCATGTGAACTGGCCTTGTGGTCCTTTGCTTATGCTCGGACTGTGTGGTGACTTTGTGATCCACCCTGAGCTTGCTTTGCTTTGCTTCTTCTCTTGACTGGTCTTGTGACTATTGCTTGCTCCTGCTATCCCCCACTTCGTCTATGGGGGTGTGTCAAAACATATGTGTTTACATTTCTCTAGGCTGTAGTGGGTTTAGCCTTAGGGGATACAGTATTTCTCTCGACATTCTACTTGTACCCTTCCCTTTCACCTAATGCATCATTCTCGTCAGTTATTCTTACAGGGGGTGACAAGCAAACCACCACCAGCTACCCTCCTCTCTTCCTTTCTCTCCTTGCAGCACTTGTTGCTGTGGGGTGGGGGGGGGGGGGAGTGGCGGGAGGAGCTACTACCGCTGCCGCTCGCCTTCCCCTCTCTCTCCCTTCTGCACGTGCAACAGTGGGGGGTGGGTTTGGGGTGGCGGGTGTGAGCACCCAGCGGCCGCCCCTCCTCCTCTCTCTCTCACTTCCGCACGTGCCGCTGTGGGGGGGAGGGTAAGGGGGTGGCGTGCTTCTGGCCGCCGTGTGAAGGCTTCAGCAGGGACCACCGTAGGTGGGGAAGGCGTTGGAGGAAGGGTGTGGTGGACGGTGTGAGGTTCAAGGGGGTGGTTGACAAGGGGGGTGAGGTTGAGGGGGGTGGCTGAAAGGGGGCGTAGAATTAGGGGGTCAGTAAGTGGGGCTTGCCGCGCTAGGCTCCCCCCACCTCCTCTCCTCCCTCTCTCACCCTCCCCCCCTTTTTGTAAAACGGGGGTTCTTAAGAGGGGTTCGTCGCGTGGCTCCCCCACCTCCTCTCCTCATCCCTCTTTCGCCCCTCCCCCTTTTGTAAAACGGGGGTTCGTAAGTGTGGCTCGCCGCGTGGCTCCCCCCACCTCCTCTCCTTATTCCTGTCCTCTCCCCTCTCTCTCTCTCGCCTCCTCTTCCTCATTTACCTCCTTGTCGTCTTCCACTGCGGGTGGTGTACCCCTTCAGGGTGTGTTTCCGCACATGATTCTTCACTGCAGGCAGTTAGGGGGTGTGTCAGAATATAATTGTATGCATTATTCTATAACTGCCTGTAGTGTAGACTTAGTGTAGTTATATGCCTTGTTGTCGTGGTGCACCTCCTTCCTTTGCATGTTCTTTCCTATTTGTACCCTCGCTCAATATTGAATCAACCTCTTTCTTCTATTTGGCTTGCTCTACCCTCTTGACACCCATGCTAGCACCTAGAACCCAAGCTATGGTTCCTAAGTTCAACTAGCTAACTTCAACAATTTTTACTTGCTTCAATTGACAAATAAGTGAGTTTTAACTTTATTTAAAAACTTTTGACCGCGGCTGCGATTGGTCAATGTCCGTCGAGCAGTGCTTGATAAATGTCCCCGAAATTGCAACAGTACGGCTGGCATATATATGCGCATAAGAATACGACATTGAGACGGAGGGATTCGGAGGGTTTTTTCGCCTGGTCAGGCGGGAGTTTCGGGGTGACCCGAGGGATTCGGAGGGTTTTTCGGTTTGGCCCCAATTTCCGAATGTGCCAGGGGGCGTGGGGCGGCATTGCTGACGTCAGCCGTCCCTATATTACTGGCTATATCATGTGCTGCGAGTACACATGATGCTCGACCCCTGTGCGCGAATTTGCCTTGTACATTTTAGAAACCTTGCGCCAGTGTTTTTTGCGTCTACCAGTTGCACCCCATTTACAAGCCCCTCGAGCAAGCTGCAGTGTTTTGAACCAATACTAACCGCAGAAACCGAGGTTTGACTGAAGAGACCTAAGTCAAATTGTCAATTTTTATATAAGCCCTTTTTTGCTAGGTGCGAATTAACGAAACCTTTGCGAAACGCAGAATCGGGGGGCTCAACCGGGTATCATGTGTAGTAGGCTGCTCACTGCCGCGAGCATTGACGTCTTTGTTGTTGTTCCACTCACAGCTCAAGCCTTTTGAGAATTCTCAAAAGTAGCACCAATTGTGCTGCGGGTAGCAGTCTGCTCACTGCCGGCCGTCGATGTTCCACTCACGGCTCAAGCCTGATGTGCGCCGCATGGCTTGTGATGTGCGAAATTTTGACCGAAAGTCGTGATGTTCCACTCACAGCTCAAGCCTGATCGTAGCTTATCGTCGTCCTCTCCCCCCGCTTTTTGAGTCGACTAATAAATGTTTCACTCGCAGCTGAAACCCGATAGTACCTTAACGTCGTCCTCTCGCTCTTCTGCCGGCGGCCGACTTGGACGACCTCCTGTGACCTCGTCGCCGGCGACGACCAAGCTGGCGACGCTGGCGACGCCCTACGACGCCGTGTGCGACTGTCCGCTCCGTCGCCACAACGTGCGGGTGATTGGGACGGGCAAAACGACGTTGTTGCTGTCTCACGGATTCAGCAGCAACCAAAAGGTGCCCCCTGCTTCCGCTTTCCCGCATGCTTCCACTCAGCCAGACCCTTACCTTTACAACTATTTCCCTCGTACCCCTTACAAGCCGCCTCAAAACACCACATTCCCGTCCCATTTTCCGCACCACCCCGCGTATCACCGCGCAGATCTGGGGCGGCGTGCTGTCGCACCTGGACCTGCGGCGCACGTTCCGCGTGGTGCTGTGGGACCTGATGGGCGCATTCAGCACGCCCTCCACGTCTTACGACTTCCAGCGCTACGCGTCGCTCTGCTCGCACGCTGATGACCTGCTCGACGTGCTCCACGCGCTGGGGGTGGCGGGGGGCCAGGCGGGGAAGGGCGAGGAGGCGGGGGACCAGGCGGCGGGGGAGGCGGAGCGGGAAGCAGAGGGGGAGGCGGAGGGGAAGGCGGAAGGGCAGGCGGAGGGGAAGGCGGAAGGGGAGGCGGAGGGGGAGGCGGAGGGGAAGGCGGAGGGTAAGGCGGATGGGAAGGCGGAGGGGGAAGCGGAGGGGGAAGCGGAGGGGAAGGCGGAGGGGAAGGCGGAGGGGAAGGCGGATGGGAAGGCGGAGGGGGAAGCGGAGGGGGAAGCGGAGGGGGAAGCGGAGGGGGAAGTGGAGGGGAAGGCGGAGGGGGAGGCGGAGGGCGTGGTGTGTGTGGGGCACAGCGTGAGCGGCATGGTGGCACTGCTTGCAAGTCTCGAGGAGCCCAGCGCCTTCAAGCGGCTACTGCTGCTTGGCGCCTCGCCTAGGTGAGGCTACACAGGCGGCTTAAACCCACAGAATCGCACGGGTTGTTGCTCGCCTAGGTGAGGCACCAGCTCTGCATTCCGAGTCATTCTGATTGCTGTCCTCCTTTTTGAGGCGCCTCAAAAATCGCACGGATTGCTCGGCTAGATGAGGCACCAGCTCTGCATTCCGAGGCATCCTGATTGCTGTCCTCCTTCCCACAACCAGGTACATACATCAACGAGCCATCCACGCGGCGGTACATTGTGACTTTTGAGGCGCCTCAAAATACACCAGCTCTTCATTCGGAGTCATTTTGCTTGCTGTCCTCCTTGCCAAAACCAGGTACGTACATCGAGCCGTCCACGCGGTACATTTTTTAGGCGCCTCAAAACTCGCCTCGGTGAGGCACCAGCTCTCCATTCGGAGTCATTTTGATTGCTGTCCTCCTTCCCACAACCAGGTACATCAACGAGCCGTCCACACGGCGGCACATTGTGACTTCCATTCTGCACATCTCAAACGCATCAACCAACCCATCCCATCCCATCCCATCCCATCCCCCTTCTCCCCACCAACAGTTACCTCAACAAGCCATCCACGCCACGGGTTATGCTGGCGGCTTCAGCCCCGCGAATCTGAAGCAGCTCACTCTTTTGCCGTTGACACGATCTTTAACGCGCACACTCCCCCTCTCCGCCCCCCTGGCCAGGTACCTCGACGAGCCGTCCACGGGCTACGTGGGCGGGTTCGACCCGGCAGACCTGGAGCAGCTGTTCCTTTTGACACGTCACCAACGCCCACATCTCCCCCACCCCCCGCATCCTCCCTTCACCAGGTACCTGAACGAGCCGTCCACAGGGTATGTCGGCGGGTTCGACCCGGCAGACCTGGAGCAGCTGTTCCGGGGTGTGCGGGAGAACTACATCGCGTGGGCGTCAGGGTTTTCACCGCTCATGGTGGGGCGGGATATCAGCAGCCCCGAGGTGCGGCAGCTCACTGAGAGCGTGCTGCTGGTGCGCCCTGACATCGCCCTCAGCGCCCTCCGGACGACCTTCCAGTCGGATTACATTACAGACATGTGCTGGGACAGGTGGGTTGTTGAGACGTCTCAAGCTGGGTTGGGAGGTGCGGCAGTTGAGTGGTAGCGTGCTGCAAGTGCGCCCGGATATTGCTCTCAGCGCCCTCCGAACGTCCTTCCAGTCTGATTATAGGCACCTGCTGGGTCCAGTGAATTGCTTGTGGGTCGTGCGATAGGAGAGGGATGACGAGCCGAGGAGGGAAGGAAGATGGGTAGTCTGACTCTCACGTTTCTGCTTGAAGAGTCTTGGCACGTTCCTACTTACCGCACGTGCCTGCTTACCGCACATTCCAAATTACCAACACCCTCTTTCCTTTCTCATGCACCGTGCCATGCCACTCATGCACCGTGCCATGCCACGTGCAATGCAACACCATTTCCGCATCGTATTGACTCTTTCCCACTCATCGTTTTGCTTCCCTTCTCTTCTCTCCCCAGGTATCATGCCCAGTGACAGTGCTATCCACAAAGAGTGACGCTGCAGTGCCAATGGAGGTGCTACTCACCAAGTGAGCGAGTACCTGAGGGAGGTGATACTTGGGGTGGGCATGGAGGTGCTACCTACACACGGCCACCTCCCCCACCTCACCCACCCTGCTGTTGTTGCTCATGCCATCCAACGCCATGCTGCTGCCCACAAGGTGCCTTTTGAGTCGGCTCAAAAGTCACCTGGGGCGGGCATGGAGGTGCTACCCACACACGGACACCTCCCCCACCTCACCCACCCTCCTATCGTTGCTCGCGCCATCCAACGCCATGCTGCTGCCCACGACGCTGTGGACCACGCTGTACAGCACCGCACCGCACCCCACCGCACTGAACCACATAGCACTGCACGGTGTTGTGTAGAGGCAGGAGACGCATCGCAAGAGGCTCGGGGATGTGGAGGTGGGGCGCACATGGCTGGCTTGGATACCCACCTCTCCGACCCTCTGATCTCTCCTTGCTGCTGCATCCACCAGAGGGATTTCTGGAGCATCCCACAGAGAGGCACAGAGGGATTGCTTGGTGCAGAGGCAGCAGGGAGAGGCACAGGCAGATGCAGCAAGCAGTGGCAGCAGGAAGAGACAGCAAGCAGAAGCAGCAGGAAGAGACACAGGCAGAAGCAGCAGGAAGAGACACAGGCAGAAGCAGCAGGAAGAGACACAGGCAGAAGCAGCAGGAAGAGACACAGGCAGAAGCAGCAGGAAGAGACACAGGCAGAAGCAGCAGGAAGAGACAGCAAGCAGAAGGAGCAGACAGCATTAGTGGATGGCACTGCAGTAACTAGCAACTGATTTATGCAGCCAAACTCACGGCACAGAGTTCAACAATAAGGGTGGCACCCGCACTTCTCTGTGTGGGTGGAACCCATTCGAAGAACTGCACCCATATGGCTAGCAATGAGCAACGGCAGTTGCATGGGTATGGCTACCTTCATTCCCCTGTATAGCTGCCCTTAGGGGCGGAATATGCCCTGTCATGATGAATAAAAATTTGTTTTTTTTGTTTTTGTTTTTTTTTTTGCGAGACCATTGTGTTGCAACAAGAAGTCAAACCAGAAAAACTAGTTTGGTTTTAAGTGAGCCAACCTCTCTGCAAATCCCCATTGGTTACTCGATGATGCCTGTGGCGACTCATCCCTGCCCACGTCATCTGCAGCACCCATGTTGCAGGTACCTTCCATACCCTCACCATCACCATCACCATCACCATCACCATCACCATCACCATCACCATCACCCCCAGTGACAATACCCGTTAGAATCGCTCGTTCCCCCCCACCACCTTGTATCCCTGCTCCACTTTCAGAACCCCTAGCCTGATTAGCCATCCCCTCGTACTCGGATACGTAATAAGCACTGGAAGAGTACACGGTTGTGTGATTTGTGCTAGTCGCGCCTTCCACATCCTCCTCAGTGCGAGCGTGCAGGTCTGTCTGGGGGAGGTGTGGAGCAGGGGAGGTTTCTTCCTGCATCGCCGGCATGTGGGAGAGAGGCAGGTCGGAGTGCGTGCTCATGGACTGTGCTCCTGGGGACTTGGGCACCACCGCAGACGGGGTGGTTTGTGATTGTACACCATGTGACTGTACCGCAGGTGAATGTAACCCGTGAGATTGTGACTGCACCCCATGTGACTGTACCTTATGTGACTGTGTCCCTACCCCATGCGACCGAACCCCTACCCCGTGTGACTGTACCCCATGTGATTGTATGCCATGTAATTGTGGGCCGAGGGGCGGGGTGTTGTGGGGCAGCAGGTGGCTGTCGGTGCTGCTGGCAGGGGTGTGCAGGGAGGAGCGTGTGGAGGAGGCGGCACGCTTGAGCAGCAGGGAGCGCAGGAAGGCGGGGAACTGCGGGTTGGCGGCGTCGTGATGGATGAAGGGGAACCACTCCGTGCTGTCTGCTATGCTCACAGGCGACCTGCATGGGAGGCAGTGGGATAAAGACGTGGACATGTGAGCGTGGCAACGAGGCATCGGCAGGAAGGTGGGGAACTGTGGGTCGGCGGCGTCGTGGTGGATGAAGGGGAACCACTCCGTGCTGTCTGCTATGCTCACAGGCGACCTGCATGGGAGGCAGTGAGATAAAGACGTGTGCAGTGTGAGCATGTGGGGTGGAGTGTGAGCATGTGGGGTGGGGTGTGAGCATGTGGGGTGGGGTGTGAGCATGTGGGGCGGGGTGTGAGCATGTGGGGTGGGGTGTGAGCATGTGGGGTGGGGTGTGAGCATGTGGAAGTGTGGTGGATGAAGGGAATCCACTCTGTGCTGTCTGCTGTGCTCACAGGCGACCTGCAGCGTTGAGGAGGGGATTTGAGCACATGAGGGTTGTGCGCATGTGGGGATGGTGGGGATTGCGCATGTGGGGATGGTGGGGATTGCGCATGTGAAGACGTGGCTGGGGTTGCATGGAGGGTAACCACATGGTACAGTCCATTATGCTCATAGGCCACTGCAGCAGAACGCCTTTGGTAGCGGGCACCTTCCAGAACGCCTTTGGTAGCGGGCACCTTCCAGAACGCCTTTGGTAGCGGGCACCTTCCAGAACGCCTTTGGTAGCGGGCACCTTCCAGAACGCCTTTGGTAGCGGGCACCTTCCAGAACGCCTTTGGTAGCGGGCACCTTCCAGAGCGCCTTTGGTAGCGGGCACCTTCCAGAGCGCCTTTGCACCAAAGCAATCCCTTCACTGGATTGATGTGCCTACCCTGCACTAGCATGCAGCAGCACCATCACAATGACGACCCTTTGTCCCCCACAGCTGGTACACAAAAGCCCCCAAGCGCCCTGCAGTGCCGTAGCTGGCACACGAGCACGTTGTTGGTACAAACATACTTGGAACTCGAATTGTTAGACATTCCAGCGACATTTCCTACGTGAATTCCTGCTGCTCGCTGGGATGTCTAACAATTCACGAGCACTTCGTTGCTACAAACGTACTTGGAACTCCTGAACCCTAAACCCTGGACATGACATAGAGACCTCCCGCACTCGCTATCACCTAAACTCCAAGGCAGACACTGACTCCCTCACCCCACTCCACCCCACTCCACTCCACTCCGCTCTGCTCCACTCCAGGGTATCACCCACCTGGGGCTCTCTTGAAGCAGCATGGCCGTGCGTTCGTCCACCTCTCCCCACAGCTGGTCGACAACAGCAGCAGGCAGCCCCTGCGTGCTGTAGCAGTCGTCCTGGTACCACACGCACAGGTGCACCAGCTGGTTCGCGTTCAGGTCCGGGCAGAGCGAGCGCAGGTGTGTTAGTGAGCACGAGGGCTTGTGCTCCATGGCCTGGGGGGGAAGGGGGGGAGGAGGGGGGAAGGGGGGGAGGAGGGGGGAAGGAGAGGGGAAAGAGAGGGGTATAAATGAGACGAGAGAGGACCAGAGGCTCAGGACTGGTGCGGCAGCAAGCACGAGGGCTTGTGCTCCATGGCCTGGTGGGGAAGAAAGAGAGGAAGGGGGAGTGGAGCAGGATAGAGCACATTTGACTAGATGCACAGAAGCAGACTTGTCAAATCAAACGGAGGTGGAGAATAGCAGCACACTGCACCCACAAGCACCGCACAGCACCCACCAGCAGCGATACGGCTTGCTGCAGATGCCTCAAGTGGCGCCACACAGCCTTCTTCGCCTGCCCCGCATCTTCCTCCTCCTCCTCACTCCCCTCCCCCTCACCCCCCTCCTCACCCCTCTCCTCTCCCCCTTCTCTCCCATCCTCCCCCTCCCCTCCATCCATCCCTGCCCCTCTGTGAGCGTGCAGCGGCTCCCAGAGCACCTCGGGAAGCTCTTCCAGAAAGAGGTTGAGGAGGGAGAGCGCGTCGCACAGCAGCTTGCCGTTGCTGTGCGTGCAGGGACACCACGTGCTGCGCACCATGAGGCTGGGGGGTGGGGGGAGGGAATGAGGGAAGGTAAAGGGGGGGGGGGATGTGGGGAGATCACAGGGTTGGGGAGGGCCTTTGGCTTGCCATTGTTGTCATTGCTGTGCGTGCAGGGGCACCACGTGCTGCGCACCATGAGGCTGTGTTGCGTTGCAGTGCGGAGAAGAATGGGAGGGGGAGAAGACGACAGGGCAGGTCCATAGTGAAGTCCATAGAGGGGAAAACAGGGCAGGTCCATAGTGAAGTCCATAGAGGGGAAAACAGGGCAGGTCCATAGTGAAGTCCATAGAGGGGAAAACAGGGCAGGTCCATAGTGAAGTCCATAGAGGGGAAAACAGGGCAGGTCCATAGTGAAGTCCATAGAGGGGAAAACAGGGCAGGTCCATAGTGAAGTCCATAGAGGGGAAAACAGGGCAGGTCCATAGTGAAGTCCATAGAGGGGAAAACAGGGCAGGTCCATAGTGTTGTAATTTCATATTTCATACAACATACATAGGCTAGAAGTGTAGCACATTTATAAATTGGGGGGTTGCTTAGTGTACCCTCCAACCACATTTTGTGGTTGGTTGGGATTGGTCCTTAGCTCAACCAATCCCAACCAACACACATTTGTGGTTGCTTGGGTCACAAGCAAGCTCACCCATTGGCCAACTTATTGGCCAATAGGGTAAGCTTCCCTCTCATCTCTCTCTTGCTCATTGTTTGTACAAAAGAGCCTCTTGGCTCATTATTCAATGTATCAATTCTCTCTCCTCTAACATGGTATCATGAGCTAATGGCTCACGCCTACCTCCCTCGGTCCTTACGCCACCCTCTCCTCCCCGTTCCTCAGATCTAGCCCCACCCACGGAGCTGCCCTCCCTTCACGCGCCCTTTAGGCGCTGTCCCCCCTCCCCGTGCGCCCCCTAAGGCGCTGCCCTCCAAGGCACGCTCAGATCTGCAACTCCAGCGCCCAGATCTGCACTCCCTGCGACCAGATCCACTCTTCCCGCGCCTAGATCTGATCATTCCGCGCCCAGATCTGGATTCCGCGCCACCAGATCTCCTCCTCCCGCGCCCAGATCTGAACATTTCGCACCCAGATCTGCACTCCGCCCGCCCAGATCCGCCCTCCGCGCGCTCAGATCTGCCCTTCGCGCAACCAGATCTGCACTCCGCGCGACCAGATCTGCCCTCCGCGCGACCAGATCTGCCCTCCGCGCGACCAGATCTGCCCTCCGCGCGACCAGATCTACTCCTCCCGCACCTAGATCTGATCATTCCGCGCCCAAATCTGGATTCCGCGCCACCAGATCTCCTCCTCCCGCGCCCAGATCTGAACATTTCGCACCCAGATCTGCACTCCGCGCGCCCAGATCTGCACTCCGCCCGCCCAGATCCGCCCTCCGCGCACTCAGAACTGCCCTTCGCGCAACCAGATCTGCACTCCGCGCGACCAGATCTGCCCTCCGCGCGACCAGATCTGCCCTCCGCGCGACCAGATCTGCCCTCCGCGCGACCAGATCTGCCCTCCGCGCGACCAGATCTGCATCTCCCGCGCTGAAATCTGACCATTTCGCGCCCATCTCTGCACGTCCCGCTCGTTTGCCGCGGGCTGTCCCGCGTGCATTCGCCACGGGCTTCCCAGTCGCGCGGATCTGCCGCACGGCTGCCCTCTTCGTCCCCTCCCCCCCCCCTCTCTCCCTTCCTCCTCCCGTTGTACCCGCAGCAGCATCATCAGCGGCACCTCAACGGCACCACCAGCAGCACCCTCCCCCCTTTCCTCCCCCATAGCATCGCCCTCCTCCTCCTCCACCCAACCCACCCTCCGCTCCTCCCTTCCTCCTCCCATCCTACCTGCAGCAGCACCAGCAGCAGCACCAGCAGCGGCACCACCAGCAGCACCCTTCCCCCTTGCCTCCCCCATAGCATCGCCCTCCTCCTCCACCATCCTCCTCCTCCCATCCTACCTGCAGCAGCACCAGCAGCAGCACCTGCAGCGGCACCACCAGCAGCACCCTTCCCCCTTGCCTCCCCCATAGCATCGCCCTCCTCCTCCTCCACCTTCCCCACCCTCCGCTCCTCCCTTCCTCCTCCCATCCTACCCGCAGCAGCATCCGCAGCGGCACCAGCTGCAGAACCAGCAGCGGCACGGGCAGCAGGGCCAGCAGCAGCATTGGCAACGGTACCCTCGCACCATCCTCCTCCTGCCCTAGCCTCTACCCACCCTCATCTCTATGGCATCGTCGTCCGATTCTTCCGTCGACCTTGCCACTGTTGACGCACTCGAGTTGCTGCCTGACAACTCTGCTGCTAATTGGCACTCTTATGCTCATTCCGTTGAGGTGCTCCTCTCCTCTGTTGTGGTCAGCGGTTAGAACCTTCGCTCGGTTGTCTTTCAGGAAGGCGGTGGACTTCAGCCCGTGGCCCCCACCGCTCCTACTGGACCTGCCCCCGCCCACCCTGGCGTCGAGCCCTCTCCCCCCGGTGATCCTCCCACCTTCGCGCCGAATGTCAACGACCCGCAGAGCTCGGAAACCGCCATTCGCACCTACCGCACCAATCTCCAAGAGCACCTGCGCCTGCAATTGCGTTACGAGGACGACAGGCGCATCTATGACGAGGCCGCTGCCCGCTACAACAAGTACCAGGAGGACCTGGACACCTACACTGCAGAACTTGCAGACTACACCACGAAAATTAATGCCTGGCGGGTTGCTGATCGGCGTGCGCTTGCCATTCTTCTCGCCACCATCCCCTCCTCCCTCAAACGCGAGCTCTCACCTACCTCCTCCTCCCACCTGTGGCGACTGCTAGTCGACCTTTTCGATCGGCAGGACGTTGCCACTCTTTACGCCCTTATCAAGGAGTTTGGAACTCTCTCCATGGATTCCACTTCTGGCGCAGCTGCTTTCACTCGCCGTGTCTTAGACCTTGCTCGGCGCCTTGCAACACTCGATGTGGTGTACCCGGACACCGTCATCTGCTGCCACCTCCTCGAGGGCCTCACACCTGCCTTCGACGCTCACAAGCTTGCTTACATGCAGCTTATCTCCAAGCACCACACCCCTGCCGAAGTCGCTCAGTGGATTATCACCACCGAAGCTGAGATCCTTCGCCACTCTTCCTCCACAGCCGCAGCAGCCCAGTCGCGCAGCAGCCGGGGTGGACGTGGCGGTGGGCGTGGGGGTGGGCGTGGTGGTGGGCGTGGGGGTGGACGAGGGGGATCAGCAGGTCGCGGTGGTGCTGGCAGCAGTGGTGCGGGTCGTGGTACGGCAGCTGCCTTTCCTCCCTGTCAGTACCTGCCTCGCTACGGTCCCACTCAGGGACAGCGCTGCGGCCAAACCACCCATGCCACTGAGACGTGCTTCAAGGCACTCAGTGATGAGTGGTTTGCCCGTGGCAACACCGGCACCCCTCCTCGCTGGTCCGCCCTCAACCCTCGCCCCACTCCCCTTGAGGTCCGTTCCTCTCCCCTTTATGAACCTCCCTCCTCCACCCACGCCCACCAGGCCCTCGCCCCTCCCCAGCAGCAGCACCAGCAGCAGCAATAGCAGCAGCAGCTTGGGAATCAGCAGCAGGGGTCACAGCAGTATGGGCAGCAGCTTCTCCTCTCTCAGCTCCAGCAGCAGCTCCAGCATCTCCAGCAGCAGCTCGACCTCCAGCCGCAACTGCCCCTCCTCCCTCCTCCTCCGGTTTCCCAGCAACAGCCCTTTCCTACCTGGACTGCTGGGAGTGCTGCCTCTGCAGCCCATCTCTCGGGTGCGTCCCCGGCGCCGTCTGCAGGTGGCAGTGTGACCGCTTTCCCTTCCTCTGGTTTTGTTGGTCTATTAGGTCAACCTGAATCTGTTGCATCTCCCATGTACCCTTCTTCTGCTAATGAAACTTCGTTCCAGTTCTCTGCCTCACCTTCCTCCACCATTGACTTCGTTCTGGACAGTGGAGCCACTGACACTGTCCTTCGCGACGCTGGTACACTGCGCCCTCTCCCCACACCAACCTCCCTCCTCGGCGCTGATAGCAGTTTTTCCATCCCTTGTCACAACACCTCCACCCTTCCCTGTCCTCTCTTTCCCTCAGGTACTGTCACCGGTCTCCACATTCCCTCCCTTCGTACTAACCTCCTCTCCCAAAGGTCCCTCCAACAAGCCATGATCACCACTCTCATCCCAGGTGGTGCTAACCATTGTGACCTATACCAAACCTCCACAGGTCGTTTTCTCGCCCGTATTCCCTATTGTCCTCGCTCCCGTCTGTACACCCTTCGGGTTCCCCGCCCCCTCACCTTCCAAGTTGCCTCCCCCCCCCTCCTTCCCCCCCCCCCCTCCCCTCCCTCCCACTAACCCACCCCTCCCCCCCCGCCCTCCTGACTCTGACTGTTCCTGTCGCTCCCTCTCCCACCCCACCATCCTCCTCCATCACAGGCTAGGCCACCCCAACTTCGCTACTCTGCGCTCCTCTGTCTCCTCCGGTCTCCTCCACGGTCTCCCTTCCTCCCTCCCTCCCCTCCCCAAATCCCCTGCCCCCCCTTGCACCGTCTGCGTTCAGAGCAAGCTCAAGCAGCAGCCGCACCGGAGCTCCCCCTCCGCTGCTGCGCAGCCACTTGATCTTGTTCACATGGACCTATGGGGCCCTAATCCCTCTCCCACTCGCCAGGGCCATCGCTACCTTCTCGTGCTTGTTGATGATCACAGTCGGTACTCGTCCGTCTCTCTCCTTCGGACGAAGGCGGATGCCCCGGCTGCGATCATCGCCTGGCTCGAACGGGCAAACACCCATTTTGGGCGCCCTGTTTGCCGCCTTCACTCTGATGGAGGTGGTGAGTTCCTTAACAACCAAGTCTCCTCCTATTGTCAGTCTCGTGGCATCCTTCAGACTTACACCCTCCCTCACTCCCCACAGCAGAACGGCGTGGCTGAGAGTCGTGTTCGAGAGATCACCAAAACAGCCCGGTGTCTGCTTGTCCACGCCTCCTGCCCCCCTTCTCTTTGGGGCTACGCCCTCCTTCATGCCGCCCTCCTTACTAACCTTTACCCTCACCCCCTTCTCCCCTCCATCACCCCCACTGAGCTGTGGACGAAGGACAAGCCTGATGCCTCATCACTTCGTGTCTGGGGCTCTAAGGCACATGTCCTCATTCACCCCTCTGACCGCTCCCGTTCCATGGGAAAGCTTGCCCCTCGTACCCTTCCCTGCATCTTCCTTGGTCATAATCCCTCCTCCCCTGACTACCTTTTCCTCCACCCACCATCCGGTCGTCTAATCCGCAGCCGGGATGTGGTCTTTGACGAGTCCACTCCCTACTACTCCTCTCCCACATCTACTGACCCACTCCCCTCTCTCACCCGTCCCCTTGTCTGGTCTGACACCACCCCTCCCCCACTACTCCCTCCTCCCCCCATCCTCCCACCCCCCCCTTCTCCGCCGTCCCAGTCCCATGGTGCCCCTCCCTCTTCTGGTGACATCTTTGACCCGGAACCTCTGTCTTCTCCTGTCTCCCCCGCTCACTCCTCTCCTAGTACCCCTCCCCCCCCCCCCTTCCTCTCCCTCGCCACCAACCCGTCCTCCCCCTTCCCGCACCATACTCACCCGGTATCCCCACACCAGGTCACGTGACGGTATCCTTGGTGCATCGCCTCCCGTTACCCTCTCTACCTCTACCCTCCCCCCTCTCTCCCCCCTCCTCCGTCACTTCTTCCAGGCTGTCTTGCATCAAGCCCCTCATGCAACAGCCCCCTCAGCCACCTCCTCTCCAGCAGCGGCACCAGCAGCGGGACCAGCAGCGGCGGCAGCAGCAGCGCCAGCAGCCGCAGCAGCAGCGGGACCAGCAGCGGCACCAGCAGCGGCACCAGCAGCAGTACCAGCAGCAGCACCAGCAACAGTACCAGCAACGGCACCAGCAGCGGCACCAGCAGCAGTACCAGCAGCGGCACCGGCAACGCCTCCACCAGCAGCACCAGCAGCGGCACCAGCAGTCATCCGCGCCTTCCACACCTCCCTCTCTGAGGACTCCCATGAAGAGTTCCTTGACCTCCACCTTTATGACCCCTCACTTCTACCCATCACGTTCGACATCTCTGGCACACCTGTCTTCGCCCTCTCCTCTGCTCCCTCCATTTTCGTTCCTACCACGTACGAGGAGGCAATGGCGTGCCCTGACGCTCCGCTATGGCTCGCCGCCATCATCAAGGAGCTGGAGGCCTTTATCGGCAACTCCTCTTTTGTCGATGTGCCTCGCCCTCCCGCCCCTACGAACGTGGTGAAAGGAAAGTGGGTGTTTCGCGTCAAGCAGCTGCCAGGGGAGCCGCCCGTTTATAAGGCTCGTTACTGCGCCAAGGGGTTCACGCAGCGGTATGGTTTTGACTTCTTCGATACCTTCTCCCCTACTGCCAAGCCTGCTACTGTTCGCGCCGTGCTCGACCTCGCCGCTCGCCTCAATATGGAGATCCACTCGATGGACGTTTCTAACGCCTTCCTACAAGGCGTCCTCCGCGAGCTTATCTACATGGAGCGTCCAGCCGGCTTTCACCTCCCCTTCCCAGCAGACTCTGTCTGGCAGCTGCGTCGACCGGTGTATGGGCTCCGACAGGCCCCGAGGGAGTGGCATGCTAAACTTGCCGCCACCCTTGCTGAACTTGGGTTCCGCACCTCCCGCTCTGACGCCAGCCGCACCTCCCCCTCCCCATTTTACATCCTTGTGTATGTCGATGACATGATTCTGCTCACTGCCGACCTTGGAGAGTTGGAGCATGTTAAGGCTGAGTTGGGCACCCGTCTCAAGTGCAAAGACTTGGGAGAGCTGCAGCATTATCTGGGCATGACCATCACCCGTGACCGCTCCGCCCGCACCATCTCACTCTCCCAGGGTCATTACTTGCAGCAGGTCTTGGAGCGGTTTGACATGGCCCGCGGCGGCGCCCAACATACACCTCTTTCTGTCGGGCACCACCTCTCTCCACCCACCTCCCCCTCAGCCTCCTCCCATCCTTATCCCGAGCTCATCGGCTCCCTCATGTACGCCATGGTCTCCACTCGCCCTGACCTTGCCTACCCCATCAGCGTCCTCGCTCGTTTTGTTGGCGCAGGCAAGCATACGGAAGAGCACTGGCAGGCCGCCAAGCGTGTCCTCCGGTACCTTCGTGGCACCAAGGACTATGTCCTTACCCTTGGCGGCCCCTCCCCACCTCTTCTCAGTGGCTACAGTGACTCCTCCTGGGCGGATTCCCGGCCAGATCGTCGCTCCTCCCAGGGCTATGGCTTCTCTCTTGGCAGCGGCCTTATCAGCTGGCGCTCCACCCGCTCCTCGGCTGCGGCCCTCTCCTCCTGCGAGGCGGAATTGTATGCCGCCACCATGGCTGCGCAAGAGGCCCGCTGGCTCACCTTCCTTCTTGAGGAACTTGGTGCCCCCCAGCGCTGTCCCACAATTTGGTGTGACAATGCTAGTACCATTCACCTCACCAAAGATGCTGTGTTTCACGGACGCTCCAAGCACATTGAGCTCCGTCATTTCTTCATTCGCGATCTTGTTCAGGCGGGGCACCTTCGCCTCGCCAAGGTTGACTCGGCGGCCAACCTTGCCGACATCTTCACAAAAGCTCTTCCTCATGCCGCTCACTCTTTCCTACTTCGTCTTCTTGGCCTCACTCCTCCTAAGTCGCCTCCCGCCTCTTGATTCTAGCCTTCTAGCCTTATGCATGTTGGGGGGTTGTGTTGTAATTTCATATTTCATACAACATACATAGGCTAGAAGTGTAGCACATTTATAAATTGGGGGGTTGCTTAGTGTACCCTCCAACCACATTTTGTGGTTGGTCGGGATTGGTCCTTAGCTCAACCAATCCCAACCAACACACATTTGTGGTTGCTTGGGTCACAAGCAAGCTCACCCATTGGCCAACTTATTGGCCAATAGGGTAAGCTTCCCTCTCATCTCTCTCTTGCTCATTGTTTGTACAAAAGAGCCTCTTGGCTCATTATTCAATGTATCAATTCTCTCTCCTCTAACACATAGTGAAGTCCATAGAGGGGAAAACAGGGCAGGTCCATAGTGAAGTCCATAGAGGGGAAAACAGGGCAGGTCCATAGTGAAGTCCATAGAGGGGAGAACAGGGCAGGTCCATAGTGAAGTCCATAGAGGGGAGAACAGGGCAGGTCCATAGTGAAGTCCATAGTGAAGTCCATAGGGAAGTCCATAGTGAAGTCCATAGTGAAGTCCATAGTGAAGTCCATAGTGAAGTCCATAGTGAAGTCCACAGGGAAGTCCGTAGTGAAGTCCATAGTGAAGTCCATAGTGAAGTCCATAGTGAAGTCCATAGTGAAGTGTAGAAAAAGCAGTCGCTTGCAGATGCTGCCAGCCAGCACGAGACAGATACACCGGTCGAGGCATACACCGGTCGATCCACACACCTGTTGAGACTCAAACGCACATCAGCATAACATAATAAAAAACCCTGTATCTGTTGAGGAGTCTACCTGTTGAACAAAACTCCACCTGTTGAGCGCCCCTCTGTACCTGTTGAAGAAGCGCACGTTGATGAAGGCGAGGAGGTGTTTGAGAACGCTCTGGATGACGGGTGGCGGCACCTGGTTCTTCCACATTACCAGTGCTGCACGCATCAGCGCATTGCATCGCACTCAGCCATCCCCTGTACCTGTTGAAGACTCGGACGTTGATGAAGGCGAGGAGGTGTTTGAGCACGCTCTGGATGACAGGCGGGGGCACCTGGTTCTCCAACAGCACCAGCGCTGCCCGCCGCAGCACTCCCACCACGCTGCTCCACGTGCTGCCCACGTGCTCCTTCAGGGCTACACTCGGGAACTTCGGCAATGCACCTCCACTCGTGCTCCTTCCAGATGCTGCTTCTGCTGCCGTCCCCTCATTTCCATGTGATTGCGGCTGCTGTGGCTGCATAACAAGCAGGTGGGTGGGGAAGAGGAAATGTTGAGAGAGGGAAAATCACCACGCGACTCCACTTGCTCCTTCACGATCACATTGAGAGCTTGGGCAACGCGCTCCCCCTTTCTGTGTCTCCCAGATGCTGCTGCTGCGACTTCTGCCCCCTTCGTTTGCATGTGATTGTGGCTGCATCAAGAACAGGTGAATGGGGGCGAGGGAAGAGCACTGAAGGCGGGAGCCACACCACACACTTCTCACATAATGCCTTGCAGCAACCGCAAGAGCAGTGACAATGGAAGGAAATAGAGAAATCAAGAGCAAAGCAAAAACCCAATCCAAGCAGAAGCGAGGAAAATTTAACTGTTTCTAAAGCAAAGGCGAAAGCAAAAGTAAAGCAAAACCGAAGGCAAGAGCAGAAGAAGCGAAAGCAAGCGGTTGGCAGCACTGACAGGTGGTTGCAGGAGGGCTGCGACTTGCGAGGTGCAGTGGTGCGTGAATAGCCCCACTGCATGCTGCACACACGCATCCACCTTGTGTGCTAGTAGCATGGTCTCCGCTGGTAATGCGAACTGGGGGGGGATGGATGAAGCACAAGGAGAAGAGCGTAAGGAGTGGGCAACTTAGCACTAGGAAGGATTTACCAGCCCCACCGCATGGTGCACACACGCATCCACCTTGTGTGCTAGTGGCATGGTCTCCACTGGCGGGAGGGAGGGAAGAGGCGAGAGTAGAGTGGGGAAGAGCGGAAGGATCAGAAGAGAGGGAGAGGTGCTGCGCACATGGGGTCCACCTTGTGAGCCAGCAGCATGGAATCCTTTGGCAGGGCGAATTGGCCGCGGTGAGATGTGGAGAAGCAGGGGCGAGCGGCACAATGGGGCAGAGCAGAGAGAGCAGGAAGAGAGAGGTACGGCACACACGCACCCACCTTGTGCGCCCACAGCACAGCATAGGCGCAGCGCACTACCACAGGCTGCAACAAACATGTGAGATGTCTACCTTACACTCGAGCAGGCCCAACCGTTTTCCATATCTCCTGGCCCTACCACCACCCCCAACCACCACCACCTCTACTACCCCCAACCATCCCTTACCAGCTTCTACTACCCCTACCACCCCCATACCACTCCCCTACCACCCCCATACCATCCCCCTACCACCCCCATACCACCCCCCTACCACCCCCCTACCACCCCTCTACCACCCTGTACCACCCGCCTACCACCCCGTACCACCCCCCTACCACCCCGTACCACCCCCCTACCACCCCTTGCCCTCCCGTGGCAGGGCCTCACCAAGCCAGTGGGTCCGGGTGCAGCAGAATCAGCGTCCTGCCCCGTGGGAGTACACGCCAGGCTGGTGGTGCCGGCGCGCGGAACAGCGTAGGCAGAGGCAGGCACAGGAGAGGAGGAAGTGGTGGGAAGGGAGGAGGAGGGCGGTGGGGCTCCTGGGATATGAGTGGTGGTAGCAACACCAGAAGTGGCATTGAGAGACGCATTGGGGGCGGTACTAGCAGTGGTGGAAGGAGGTCCAGCAGTAGAAGCTGTGGCCACATCGAGCGAGTGAGGTACAGGAGCATAGTGAGGATAGGAGTGCTGCGGAGGGTTGTTGTTCTGCGTGGGGCGAGGGGGTGGACGGGACGGAGGCGGCACGGCAGGCGCAGCAGAAGCAGCAGAGGGAGGGGCGGGGGAGGAGGAGGAGGAGCGGGAGGAGAAGAGCCCACTGAAGAAAGAGGCCGCAGCCTTGATGCTGCTGCGATTGCCAGACGTGCTGCTGCTACTTGATGCTGCTGGGTTGGTTGCCCCCACAGCGCTCCCGGCAGACGTAGCCCTGGCAGGGATTCTAGCAGTAGCAGGAGTGGGACTGGCACCAGTGGCGGCTGTGAACCCATCAGCAGCAGAAGCTGCTGCTGCTGCAGCTTCACTGGGAGATGCAGGAGCTTTGAGCGTTGGAGACGCAACAGCAGAAGAACCCACCACCTCCTCCGCCCGCCCCTTCGCCTGCTGCGAATCTGCCTCCATCTCACCTCCCCCAACCCCTCCCCCCACCACTGCTGCAGCCGCCGCAGCAGCCATGGCTTGCCACCTAGCCGGCTTAAGACCCCCGAGCAGCAGGGCGTGCAGGGCAACAAGCGTGGAGATCCAATACGCCAGGCGCTCCAGACTCCCTGCAGAGCGCTGCAGGGCCGTGCGGATGGCTGATAGCACCTCGTCGTGTGGCGGTATGGGGGATGAGGAGAAGGAGAGGGAGGAGAAGGGGGAGAGAGAGGAGAAGGGGAGCGAGGAGGCGGAGGAGTAGGGGGAGTAAGGGGAGTAGGGGGAGAAAGGGGTGGAGGGGGGGAGGAAGGGAGGGGCGGCTGAAGCACCAGCCGCTGCTGCTGCTGTGGGTGTGCTAGGGAGGTTGCTGGGTAGTGCAGTCGAGAAAGCGTTGGTGGTGTTGGCAGTGGTGGTAGAAGAGGGAGGAGGGGCATGGAAGGAGAGGTGCGGCCAGAAGCGGAGGATGGTGAAGAGGAAGCAGGCGGGCACTGAGTGGCCTGAGGGGGTGAAACCAAGCGGTCGTACCACGTAGCGCAGCAGGTACTGCACCTGAGAGGGTGTGGAGGGGCGGGGAACGCGGGGAGCGAGTGAGAGGGGCGATTAGGAATGGGAGTGGTGGCCTGAGTGGCCCGAGGGGGTGAATCCCAGCGGTCACACCACATAGCGCAGCAGGTACTGCACCTGTGGATGTGGAAAGGGGAGGGAGGGAGGGAGGGAGGGAGGGAGGGAGGGAGGGAGGGAGGGAGGGAGGGAGGGAGGGAGGGAGAATTCAGTGGAATCTCAGTGAAGCGACAGTGGAAGGATAAGGAAATGAGAGTGGGAGCAGATGGCATGGTGTGGCCATGGCTTACCTGGGAGGAGTAGGAGGGAGCAGAGGCAGACATGGCTCCTGACGTGGGCGATACAGGAGACGAGGGCACCATTCCACTGCCACCACCGCCACCCCCACCGCCATACTGCGGCTGCTGCTGCAGCAGGCGGCGAGTGAGAATGCCCGGCCGCCCACTCCTCTCCCTCTCCCTGCCTCGCCCCTTCTCCTGCACGCCCCTCGGACCTGCTCCCCCTGCCCCCTCCATGTGCTCCTTCTTCCCCACCTGCAGGCTGCACGGGGGGAAGGAGGGGGGAGATTGGGGGGAAGAGGGGGGAGATTGGGGAGAAGAGGGGGGACAGAAGAGAGGAGGAGGCTGTTCATTGCACCTCCTAACGCCACACCATCCACACAAAGCCCTCCTCCAACACTATTCTTCACCCTCCCCAGCCCAAGTGCCCATCAGCCCCCCCCCCCCACCAGCAGCCCACCTGTCGAGCTGGCGCTGCAGTGGGTGCACCTGCTGCTGTTAATCCACCTCTCCATCTGCCCGTTACCACCCCACCTGACCCTCCTGCAACTTTCCCCAGCAGCCCACCTGTCGAGTTGTCGTTGCAGCGAGTGCACATGCTGCTGTAGCTCCGCAGCCAGCGCCTGCCACTGCAGCAGCTCGCACCTCACCTCCTCCATTCGCGCCTCTGCCTGCCGTGTTCTCGCTTGTGCCAACACGTCTATTCACCCGGCGGGGTTTCAGGCTCAGGTTTTGGATTTCGGGGTCCCACCTGTCCTTGAGCAGTCACTTACCTGCCCAACTGCCCACCCGCTCCCCCTCAGCACTCCCCACCACCCCACCTACCCCCCTCACAACATCCCACCTGTCGAGCTGGCGCTGCAGCGAGTGCACCTGCTGCTGTAGCTCCGCAGCCAGCGCCTGCCACTGCAGCAGCTCGCGCCTCACCTCCTCCATTCGCGCCTCTGCCTGCCGTGTTCTTGCTTGTGCCAACACGTCTATTCACCCGGCGGGGTTTCAGGCTCAGGTTTTGGATTTCGGGGTCCCACCTGTCCTTGAGCAGTCACTTACCTGCCCAACTGCCCACCCGCTCCCCCTCAGCACTCCCCACCACCCCACCTACCCCCCTCACAACAACCCACCTGTCGAGCTGGCGCTGCAGCGAGTGCACCTGCTGCTGTAGCTCCGCAGCCAGCGCCTGCCACTGCAGCAGCTCGCGCCTCACCTCCTCCATCCGCGCCTCTGCCTGCCGCGCCCTCGCCCGCGCCACACTCGCCTCCTGCCGCGTCTCCTTGTACGCCCCTCTCAGCCAGTCCGCCTCCGCTCCCAGCCGCGCCGCCATGTCCCGATCCTTCTCTGCCAAGGCTATCATCTGGTGCAGGCTCGGTGCAGAACCACTGCCTCCTGCACCTCCTGGCCCTCCCCCGCTTCCCCCGCCGAAACTCACCACAGAAGGCGTTCCCGCGCTCCCTGCCCGGCCGAAAAACCCGCCCCAGGTCGCACCTCCCCCAGGCCCACCCCGGAATCCCCCTGGTGGCCCCGTTCCCCCCATTCCCAGGCGCATTGCCATTGACGGCCTGGCACCTCCCAGCATCCCCTCCCTAAGGCTCCAGTCTTCGTCTAGGGAGCCCACGCTGGAGGTGGAGGGGGAGGAGCGCAGGCGGTCGGAGTGGCAGCGTGGCGGCACGATCATCCCCACTGGCGGGCTGCGGTAGGCTGGAGGAGGCGGCTGGGGGAAGTCCGGGAGCTGCGGGGGGAAGTCCGGAAGCGGCGGGGAGAGGCCTCCTGGGGTAGGGTTGTCTGCTGCTGCAGTGGTATGCGGCGGAAGGGGCGGAGGAGGAGGTGGGGGAGGAGGGGAGACGAGGTACATGTAGGTGTACCCGTCATCATCGGGGATTAGACCGTCAGGGGTTCGTTCGCTGATCATGTCAGTGAGAGTGTCGCCCTCCTCCCCTCGCATGAGCACCACTGAGGACGACGTCTCCTCCACGCCTGACACCACTGATGGCGGTGTCAGGCCCGACAACGCCACCCTCTCCCTCTCCCTCTCCCGTTCCCGCCCTGCCTGCGCTTCCCTGCTGGGTTCCTCACTGTGCCACTCAATCATCATCTGCCCTGGGATCACCCCAGTTCCAGGCCTGCCAACAGCAGCACAAGCACCAGCAGAGGCATCACCAGAGGCGTGACCACCAGCAGCAGCGGCAGCAGCAGCAGCAGCAGCAGCAAGAGCAGCGACGGATTCATCAAGCTCTGCCTTCATCTCCCGCACTTGCCTCATCAGCTCCTCTGCCCTTCTTTCTGCTGCCTCCGCCCTCCCCTCTGCTGCCTCTGCACGTGCTCTCTCCTCCTCCGCCCTCCTCTCAGCCCCCTCCGCCTCCTCCATTATTAACTCAACCCGCCCTTCAACAACCATCACCTCCTGCTTCAATCCCACCACCTGCCCTTCAGCCTCTCTCAGCCTTTCCTTCATTACCTCCAACTCCTCCCTCACTTTCCTAATCTCTCCATCCTTCCCCTCACCTTCCCTCCTCCACTGCTCCACCTCTCTCCTCCTCTCCCTCACTTCCTTCTCAACCATCTCCTGCTCTTTCGCCCGAGCCTCCCACTCCCGCCGCTGCCGAACCGCCTCCCGAGCCTCCTCCTCAAGTTCGGCAATCCGAGCCTCGGCTTCAGAGGTTCGGATCTCCAGGTCGCAGCGGGTGGCTCGGAGGTCGCGGTCGAGGGTGTGGGCATGGCGGGAGCGAGCCTCCAGCTCTCTCTGAAGGGCTGATACGGACTCTTCTGCTGCTGCTCTTGCCCTCTCCGCCTTGTCCTGAGAGGGGATGGAGTGGAATGGAGAGATTTTTGGTCGACTTAAATAAGGGATTGGGCGTGGCGGGACCGAGCTTCCAGCTCCCTCTGAAGCGCGAATACTGACTCCTCTGCAGCCGCTCTCGCCCTCTCCGCCTTGTCCTGGGAGGGGATGGAGTGGGATGCAAGGGGGTGTGGTGCGGTGGAGTGGGTGGGTGTTTAGATAAACATGCATGAGCAGGCAAGGCAAGGTTCAGCTGAGATGGGCTTTACGAACGTCAGTTTGAGCTTGTCGAGCACATGGGTCTTCCCCAGGTTGCAGTGTGGCCTGGCGGACAAGGCCTCTCGCATCTCATCCCCATGGCCCCCATCTCACCCGCATGACGCGCAGCACGGCCAGGCGAATGGCATCAACAGCCATGTCCAACTTCTTGCGCGGCGGGGCCAGCTCCGCCTGCTGCTGCGCTGCCTGTGGTGGTGCGTGCGGGCGGGACAGAGAGAACAATGGCAGAGAGAGATGAGGTAAGGGAAGCAAGAGATGGGGTACGGGAGCGACCAACACACATGAACACTGTGAACGAACACGGAGAAGTGAGGAGGGTTGGGACCAAGGTACCACCACCATGGGGGATACTCAGAAATCGTAAACTGCGACAATCAACCATGTAAGCCTATCAGGGCTCCCACAAGTGCACAATCTCCAAAAGCATATCAAACAAAGAGATTACGCTTCATCCCCTTTAGAGACTGACCCGTTTGAGGCGGTTAAGCCTCATTCTGGCGACTCTCATCCTCAGGTGCTGCTGCAGCAGTTGCCAGGGACGGCGACTGCTGTAACCCCTCCAGTGCGCCTGGAGAGAAAGGGGAAAGGGGGAGGGGAAGAAAGGCAAGGGAGTGAAGAGGGCGTCAAATCAAACCAGCAGTCACCACGCATGCCATCAGGTGTGGTGGACTCCCCTGAATCGGCACAAGGAGTTGAGCAGAATAACTTTTGAGAATTCTCTGAAGTAACATCAGGTGTAGTTGACTCGTGTGGCACGGCACAAGGAGTTGAGCAGAATCACTCCTCCTTGCCGTATGGTATCGAGCCATCTGCCCCGTACAGCATCTTTTGAGTTGCCTCAAAAGACTCAGATGCACCGCGAGCGAGTGAACCCACCTGAATGGTGATAGCCGCCCAGTGCTGCTGCTGCCACTCCTCCGCATATTGCGCCATCTGTCCCCGGCGGCGGCGCTGCAGCAGGATGGCCACGCGGCGCAGCTCCAGGAAGCCACATCGCACCACCAGCCCACGCCACCAGCTCTGTATGCACACTGCTGCCCTCCGTTCCCTATGCACTCTCATTATACTCCGAGTGAGGTAGCCTGGAGGAGTGGGGGGAGAGGGATGAAGGGGCAAGGAGGAGGAGTTTGAGGTGCCACCAGCTCTGAATGAGCACCGCTTCTGCTCTCGCTGCACTCGCACCAACCTCCAGGTGAGATAGCCTGGGGGAACTTAGAGAGGGGAGGGGGGGGGGGAGGGGGGGGGTTGTGTGTGGGGGAGAGAAGAACGCGCAGGAAGAGAGGGGTTTGAGGCGCCCAGCTCTGAATTCGCACCGCCGCCTCTCCCCACATGTAGCGCTGCACAGCCCTCTGGATGGCCGCTGCTGCTGCATCCACTCGCCATTTCTGAGGCACCTCAAACATAGACCCATCCCACTCACACACCTCGCCAGGCGCTCTGAATGGCAATGGTGGCGTGCAGACGGTGCTTGCGCCACAGGTAGCGCCGCACAGCCCTCTGAATGGCCGCTGCTGCCGCGTCCACCCGCTGCGACCGACACGCCTCCAGTGCCTGCAGCTGCCCCGCACGCAGGAACACCATGGTTCGCCCCACCTGGGTGTGGTGGAAGGCGGGTGGGAGAGGAGAAGGTGGGGGTTGAGAGGATGCTTTGCAGTGCCTGCAGCTGCCCCGCGCGCAGGAACACCATGGTGCGCCCCACCTGGGTGGGGTGGAAGGCGGGTGGGAGAAGAGTAGGTGGGGGGTGAGAGGAGAGAGGTCAGAGGATACTTCATAAGATTGCAGCGCCTGCAGCTGCCCCACCCTCAGGAACACCATGGTGCACCCCACCTGGGTGGGGGGGAAGGTGGGTGGGAGTGTGGGGAAGAGTTGGTTAGGGGGGACAAGAGGAAGTGCGACTTGAGAGGATGCTTGACACGCCTCCAGCACCTGCAACTAGGCCGCCCCCAGAGAGACCATGGAGCGCGGTGACTTTTGAGTCGACTCAAAACCCACCTGGTTGGGGAAGTAGATGGGTGGGTGGAGAGGAGTGAGTTAGCGGATGAGATGAAAAGGGAATGGCCGCAGTCACACCACGCTCACCATTATCTCGACACCATGCTCACCATTATCTCGACACCATGCTCACCATTATCTCGACACCATGCTCACCATTATCTCGACACCATGCTCACCATTATCTCAACACCATGCTCACCATTGTCTCAACACCATGCTCACCATTATCTCGACACTATGCTCACCATTATCTCGACACCATGCTCACCATTATCTCGACACCATGCTCACCATTATCTCGACACCATGCTCACCATTATCTCGACACCATGCTCACCATTATCTCGACACCATGCTCACCATTATCTCAACACCATGCTCACCATTGTCTCAACACCATGCTCACCATTATCTCGACACCATGCTCCAGGCTTGTGCCATAAAAACAGTGACACTACTGCCAGCCTGTCACACTCAGCTGCCAGCCTGTCATACTCACTCGCCAGCCTGTCACACACCTGCCAGCTTGTCGCATTCACCTGCGAACCTCTTAGACTCACTCGCCAGCCTGTCACACTCACTCGCTAACCTGCCTGTCACATTCACCGGCCAGCCTGTCACGCTCACCTGCCAGCCTGTCAGATTGGCATTGGTGAGAATGACCTTCACAACGTCAGGCTCCGATGCCCTGCGATGGTGAAAGGCAATGGGAGTGCGAGAGGTTAAGGGTTTAGATCGTTTGAGAGAGATCATGGGGACAAGAGAACGGCGTGAGGAGCACCGACGGGAGGGGCATCGGGAAGAGAGGGGCATAATAAGGACGTGTTTGGCAGAAGGACAGAGAGTTGTCCAACAAAAGTGCATGTGTGGTTTAAAGGGGATGTGTGGTCTGAAGGGGATGTGTGGTCTAAAGGGGATGTGTGGTCTGAAGGGGATGTGTGGTCTAAAGGGGATGTGTGGTCTGAAGGGGATGTGTGGTCTAAAGGGGATGTGTGGTCTAAAGGGGATGTGTGGTCTGAAGGGGCCCATGGAGATGCACAGAGGAAGGATACGGGGAGGCTGTTGCAGCTGTTTGCTACATCTGATACTGATAATAGTTGCAGCTGCTTGCTACATCTGATACTGATAATAGTTGCAGCTGCTTGCTACATCTGATACTGATAATAGTTGCAGCTGCTTGCTACATCTGATACTGATAATAGTTGCAGCTGCTTGCTACATCTGATACTGATAATAGTTGCAGCTGCTTGCTACATCTGATACTGATAATAGTTGCAGCTGCTTGCTACATCTGATACTGATAATAGTTGCAGCTGCTTGCTACATCTGATACTGATAATAGTTGCAGCTGCTTGCTACATCTGATACTGATAATAGTTGCAGCTGCTTGCTACATCTGATACTGATAATAGTTGCAGCCCCACGAAGGGCACACACGAGAATGCGAGGTGCAGGGGTGCTCAAGTGCAGGTAAAGACAAGGACTCGGATCTGGGGTGAAACGCGAGAAGCACATCTGGATGGTGGCATATGGGCCGGCCAGCCACTCACGTTGAGAGCTTGAGCCTTGAAGGCAGCAGGGGAGTGGGGGGGCAGCAGCAGGGCAAAGCGCTCGATGAAGTCACCCAAGGGGCGAACTCACGTTGAGAGCTTGAGAGCAGCAGGAGAGTCAGGGGGCAGCAGCAGGGCAAAGCGTTCGATGAAGTCGCCGAAGGGGCGGCGCGATGGGAAGCCGGCAGAGCACACTCGAATGGCCTCCACCACGCCCTGGTGAGAGGGGGCAGGGGCAGAGGGGCGGGAGGAGAGTGAGGAGCACAGAAAAGAAGTTAGTGGTTATAAAAATCATCAAAGCCGGCAGAGCACACTCGAATGGCCTCCACCACGCCCTGGTGGGAGGGGGCAGGGGCAGATGGGAGGAGGGAGAGCGTGAAGAGAAAAAGGGGGGAAAGAGACTCCCGAGAGAAGGGATGCGAGCCATGGATTCTTGTATCCATTGAAACAGCTGTGGATGAGAACAAGAGCTCTTAATGTCGATAAAAAAGCCGTGTAAATCCCACCCAGTCCATGCTTACATACAATGCAAAAACATGTGCAAGCTCAAACCCAGACCGCACGCACGCCCCTCTCGCCCCCCCCACACTGCAGCTGATTGGCCACAGAGCTCTTAACATCGATCAAAGGAATGTGTGCGCTGCAGCTCAATTCTTCACACGCCCCTCTCATCCCACACCGCGTGTCTCTCTCACCCAAGATCGCAGCTGATTGGCCACAGAGAGAGAGCCATTCAAAGGCCAAACCCATGCTCACATACAATACATCGACATGTGTGTGCTCAAAACCAGCCTGCACGCCCCTCTCACCCCACACCGCACGTCTTTCTCACCCCGGAGCGCAGCTGACTGGCCACGGAGAGCCAGTCAAAGACAGCCGGGTGGCTGGCGGCGTTTGGCTTGATGCAGCGCACGTAGTGGGGCTGCATGGCGGAGAGCGTCTTCATCAGCTGCGCCAGCTGGAGCTGCAGTGGGGGCGGCAGGATGGGAGGGCGCCAGGTTGGGGAGGGGCAGGGATGGGGGGTTTGAGCAGAGCAGGGCAGCGCATAGCAAGGGCGGTCAAAGCAGAGACTTGATGCAGCGCACGTAGTGGGCTGCAAGGCGGGGAGCGTCTTCATCAGCTGTGCTAGCTGGAGCTGCAGCGAGGGCATACAGTGGGTTAGGAGAGAAAGCAGAGGGATATTGAGGCGTTCGGGGCAGAGGACATGTGAGCTGAGAAAGGCTTTTCATAGGAACAGCGCTCTTAGCAAGGAACAGCGCTCTTAGCAAGGAACAGCGCTCTTAGCAAGGAACAGCGCTCTTAGCAAGGAACAGCGCTCTTAGCAAGGGCGGTGAAAGCAGGGCGTTGATGCAGGGCACATCGTGGGGCTGCATGGCAGCGACTGCCTTACTGCACCAACTTTCCAGTTGACTTGACCAGCCACCCTCAGCGTCTTACCTTGAATTGCCGGCCCAGAGACGTCACGCGTGACCCCCCACCCTTCCCTCCCGCACTGCCCCTCACTCCCCCTCCCCCGCCCACTCCTCTCGGGCTCTGCCCATCCCCCAGGGGGCTCTGAGGCCCTTCAAGCAGCCGCCGCCCCACGCCGCCCGGGCCGCCCGCATCAGCACTGGCAGAGGGGCTTCTGAAGGCGTTGAGGCGCTGACCAAACGGGCTTGAAAGGGAAGTCGCGGGGCTGGGAGGGGCGTTGCCAGCGTCGCCAGCAGCAGCCGTGGCAGCAACGGCGGCGTTTATGTAGGAGTAGGCGCCAGGGAAGGGGGGTTTGCCAGGGGTGGTGGGGAGGGGGCTACCAGGGGTGGGTAGGAAGGGGGAGGTGGGGGTGGTGGGAGGGTTGGCGGGAGATGGGGAGAAGAGGGCGGCGAGAAGGTCGTCTGAGGATTGCTCTAGCAGCTGCTGCTGCTCTGGGATGGTGACGTCTGTGTTCTTGGCCATGAACTCAAGCAGCGAGTAGCGCACCTGTGGAAAGAGGAAGGGGAGGGGGGGGGGGGGGTTCATTGAAGGTCTTTTAAGGATTGCTCTAGGAGCTGCTGCTGCTCTGGGATGGTCACGTCTGTGTTCTTGGCCATGAACTCAAGCAGCGAGTAGCGCACCTGTGGAAAGAGGAAGGGGAGGGGGGGGGGTTTCATTGAAGGTCTTTTAAGGATTGCTCTAGGAGCTGCTGCTGCTCTGGGATGGTCACGTCTGTGTTCTTGGCCATGAACTCAGCAGCGAGTAGCGCACCTGTGCAATGTGGGCGGGGGGAGGGGGAGATAGGAGGGGAGGGAGAGGTGGAAGGTAGAGGAACAATTAAGCAGAGGAGTGGGGGAGAACTCCATGAATTTGGGAGATGAGTGGGATGGCAAAGTTCCAATGTGTGCGTTCTTAGCCATGAAGTCAAGCAGGGAGTGGCGCAGCTGAGGGGTTGGAGCGACATGTAGGAAGAGAGAAGGGATGGAGGAAGAGCAGGTTTGGAGGGAGGTGCAGGGCGGCAAAGGTGTGGGTGGGAGGTGCAGGACGCACAGCAGCGCCAGTGGAACAGCGGCGAAAGAAGCAATAGCAGCAGTGGTGGCGGCAGCAGCAGCTACTGCATCAGCAGCAACAACAAGAACCAGCAGCAGAAGTTCCAAACAGCAGCAGCAACAACAATCAATAGCAGCAGCCACAGCTGTGAACATGACATGCCATGCCATGCCATGCCTTGCCTTGCCTTGCCATGCCATGCCATGCCTTGCCTTGCCTTGCCATGCCATGCCTTGCCTTGCCTTGCCTGCGTAGTGCGAGAGAGTGAAGTCGGTGGCAGCAGAGCCGCGCGGCATGGTGAAGCGCTTGCTGCCCTCCAGCGACTGCCGCAGCGTCTGAGCCAGGCTGGCTGGCGTCATGTGCGCCAGCTTGCTGCAGGAATGGGGGTGATGATGATGGATGATGATGGATGGTGATGGATGATGATGGATGATGATGGATGATGATGGATGATGATGGATGATGATGGACCACAGGGGAATGGTTTGTTGTGGGGTGAGATGGGCATGGCAATAAGGCAGTAGGTGCAGATTGTGCTTGAAATGGACTTGAAGTTGAAACACAGCTGGAATGTATCATATGGGCCAGATTCCAGCAAGGGTGTGCGAGTGGGGAAAGAATGTGGCTGAGTGTATGGGGCGGTGGAGCAAGGGAGGGGTTACTCTGTGCATACGGAAAGACCCACGCCTAAAGTGCTGTTGATACCCACGTATACTCCAATCAATTGGGAAATGTGGCATGAGAGTAGAGCAGCACACAGACACTGGAGCAAGACAGGAGAGACAGACTCCAACAGAAATGAACGCAAGCGGAGCTGTGAAAAAAAACAAGACAAGACACTGAAACCCAGAGAGCCGTTGGGATGGGATAGAGTATGCATGGTGGGGGAGTGGTGGGAGAGAGGGAGTGTGGTGGCGTGGGCATGGCGTACCAGGCAGAGTCAAGCATTGAGATGATGCCCTTGTCCTGTGAGGAGGGAAGGGGGCGGTTGGGAGGAGTACAGAGAGATTCTTGAGACACCTTAAAACAGAGTCAAGCATTAAGTTAATGCCCTTGTCCTGTGGGGGGAGGATGGGGGCGGATGGGGGCGGATGGGGGATGATGGGGGAGGATGGGGGAGGATGGGGGCGGATGGGGGAGGATGGGGGAGGATGGGGGAGGATGGGGGAGGATGGGGGCGGATGGGGGAGGATGGGGGAGGATGGGGGAGGATGGGGGCGGATGGGGGCGGATGGGGGCGGATGGGAGGAGTGCAAGGACAGAAACGATGCATGGCATGGCTGAGATGGCTCATTGCACAAGAGCATATGTAAGGACCCCCTTGAGTGTGGGAGCAATGTAAAAAACAAATAAAAGCACTGGGAAAACCCAGCCAGGAAGGATGCATATGCTGAACAGAATAAGGCAACAGCTGTTTTCCAAAGTGGAGCTACTACGAAACGAAGCACTCTTTATCAAGGATGCGATGTACATCAGCAAGGTCTGGTTGCAAAAGATTCTTTCCGAGCACATCAATCAAAAGCTACTGGCATCAACTGTGTTGGACTTGTCCCAGGCATGACCCATGACCCATGATCCATGGCCCATGACCCATGAACCATGACCCATGGGCCATGACCCATGACCCATGACCCATGACCCATGAACCATGACCCATGACCCATGACCCATGACCCATGACCCATGACCCATGAACCATGACCCATGACCCATGACCCATGACCCATGACCCATGACCCATGAACCATGACCCATGACCCATGACCCATGAACCATGAACCATGACCCATGACCCATGACCCATCACCCATGACCGACCCATGACCCATGACCCATGACCCATGACCCATGATAACAACGCACCCCTTCAATGGCGTCAAGCACATCGCTGTTGTCATTTAAGTCAATGAAGTCCCACTTGATGCCCTCGCGCTCGTACCATGTGAGTCATAGCATCACATGATGACCCATGACAACAACGCACCCCTTCTATGGCATCGAGCACGTCGCTGTTGTCGTCAAAGTCAATGAAGTCCCACTTGATGCCCTCCCTCTCGTACACCTGCTGCTCCTCCCTCAACACATGCTGGAGAGCAGAGGCAAAGGGCACAAGGAGAGGGAAAGAGGGAGGGAAGAGCGTGACGGTCACTCAAGGCATTGCGGCTCCACATGATGCCCTCCCGCTTGTACACCTGCTGCTCCTCCCGCAACACATGCGGGAGGGGAGAAGCAGGAGGTTGGAGGTGGACAGAACACGTGCAAAGAGATGAAGAACCATCCAAGTGATATACTTCCCTTTTCACCCAATCGTCATCCTCTTGATACCTGACAGAAGTGCTGCTGCAAACACGGTTCAAGCAATTCAAGTATGACCCTCTTGGTACCTAGTTGATATTACTGTTGCTGCACATGCAGCACAAGTGCAATCCTGCTGGTACCTGGTTGAAGTGTTGCTGCAGCTTCTCATTGGCCAGATTGATGCACAGCTGCTCAAAGCTGCAGCATGGGGGAAGGGAATGGGATGGGAAGGTGGGAGGGGGTAGGGAGGAGGGTAGGGAGGGCGGAGCGTACAAGAAGGCATAAGGAGAGGGAGGAAGCAACAGCTGAATTTGTAACAGCAAGATTGCCTTATGGGTTACAGCTAAAAGGCAATCTTGCTGTTTGGTTCTTCGCATCTCGTTGCAACTGGGAACCCCTCTGTCAGCTTCTCAACAAGCAACTCCTTAACATGATTCTGCCTACACAGCAGCCTCCTCAAAACACAGCAGCCACCTCATGAACTCAAAATAGGGATGAGCAGGGGGAGAACTCGAACATGTTCGTGTTCGCCCCCTCACGAACATGGCCTTCTGCCGAACCGAACACTGGTTTGGTTCGGCGAACAACTTGACTGAAAATAGGTGTTCGCCGTTCGCCCCAGGAGGCGAACAATTTGCTGCAGCAGGCGAACAATTTGCTGCAGCAGGCGAACACGAACACGTTCGTGGCGAACATGTTCGTGTTCGCCCAGGGGGGAATTCAATATAGTCACACTAGTCCGAATACGAATTTGATGGTGCAGGATGATAGCAAAGGGGGTGCAGGGTGTATACGTGTTCACGAAACGCACCAACAACTACAACATCATGTTCTGTGTAAGGAAGTGTCTATGTCATACTAATTCCTACGCCATGGCGCCACTGCTACTACCAACAACAGCATCCTCTCCACCAGTTGCGTCTGCCTCCACCCCCTCCTCCTCCTCCTCCTCATCGTCCTCCTCCAACCCCTCGCCCTCAATGGCGAACTCTGGTGGTGCGACTCCTCTCGGTCGGCGGCCCTCGCCGATCCTCTGGCCAGGGTGTGAACTGTACCATGATCTGAGAATCATGACAGCTCGCGTCCTCTAAGAGGCCAGGCGGTGCCGCTTTCAGGAGATGAGGTTGCGACCAAGAGAGAACACCCGCTCGCTCGAAGCGGACGTGGCAGGGATGGCGAGATAATCCCGGGCAATGCGCCTCAGCGTCTGCATGTTGGTGGCGGTGCGCCAGTACTCTAGCGCTGTCACGTCGCACCGCACCCTCTCGGACAAGTACCTGCTAACCTCGTCATCCTCCACCATCCCACCCCTCCCCGCCTCCTAGCTCGCCGACAGACGCGCCGCAAGTCGTCGGCGACTAAGGAGAAACTGCGCGTCATCGTTGTCCTCCACCTCGTCTCCCTCCTCCTCCTCCACAACGGGGGCAAGTGGGGTCGGCCGGGGAGCCAGCTCTGCAGCCCGGGCCTAGTACTCGGCCACGCGGTCGCGCACCGCGTGAGCGACCGCATGGGAGGGTGGGCTAAGCGCTAAAGTCGTTTTGTGTTTGAGCTCAAGAAATGAGCTCAAACACAAAACGGCCGCGACCTAAATTTGGTCGCGGCCAAATTTGACGCGAACATTTTGGTGTTCGTCGGTCCCCCCCGTCGAACACGAACATGTTCGTGTTCGGCATCCCGTGGCCAAAGGTCATAGGCGAACGGCGAACGTGTTCGGCCGAACACCGAACACGTTCGCCCCGAACGAATTAGGCGAAAAAAAAAGCCTGTTCAGTTCGCCTCGAACATGGCGTTCGTGAATTTGCTCATGCCTAACTCAAAAAACGGAGGCCAAGATGCCGTTTGAACTCACCTGTTTGTCTCAAAGTGTTCAAAGCCATAGATGTCGAGCACGCCAATGCACCGGCCCTCCTCCACCCCGCTTGTCTGCTGTATCGACTCGTTGATGCGCTCTACCAACCTGCATAGGTGGGGGGTGGGGAGTAGTGGGGTAGGAGATATGGAGAGTCCGGGGAGAGCAACACTGAACCTTGCTCCCTGCCCTGTCTGCCACCTCTGCTGTATCGACGCGTTGATGCGCTCCACTCCACCAGCCTGCACAGGCGGCGAGCAGACATCCAATAGGGGGGATCGTTGGGGTTTTTTCAAAGGGCGAGATGCAGCTTCCAAGCGGCCCTGCCCTCACTGCTGTTTCGACTCCACCAGCCTGCAGAGGTGGGGGAAGGGGAGCACGGGGGGCAATAGCAGGGGGGACGGGAGGGGCACTGAAGCTTGCTGAGATGACTCACACAACGTGCACGCATGAAGGAGCAAGGGGGAAGGGGAGGGACTTACCAGTCAAAGACGCATGAGTAGAGTGCCTTGGCGAGAGCGTCGCAGTGCAAGCAAGCAGTCGAGTGGAGGTGTTAAGCTGACTCTCACACAAGGCGCGCACAAGAACAAGGAGGAGGCACACCCACCAGTCGAAGACGCGTGAGTAGAGCGCCTTGGCGAGAGCGTCGCGGCGCAAGCAGGCGGTGCGGTCATCCGCTGGGCTGCGAATGACTTCCGGACCCACCCGCCTGGTGACAACTGTGATGCACTCTCGCATCGCCTCCTTGTCCACTCTGAGGGCAGGGATAAGGGGGTCGCATCGCAGGGGAGGAGGGGTGGGGTGGGGGAGCCTGGGTTAAGTGGCGTGGCAGGCCCACCCACTCACCATTGACCACCATGGTGACTTTAGAGTCGACTCAAAAGTCACCTGAGTCGACTCAAAAGTCACCTGAGTCGACTTAAAAGTCACCTGAGTCGACTCAAAAGTCACCTGAGTCGACTCAAAAGTCACCTTGGTTAAGTGGCGTGGCAGGCCCACCCACCCACTCACCGTTGATCACCATGGCATGAGCAACTGGGTCACTGCCTGCCTGCCCACTGTCCAGGCTGATTCAAACAGAAGGTACAGGGCGCATGGATCAATGGGGCGAATAGCGCAAACATAGCAGCATGCGGAATCCAGTGCAGATCCGAGCACATCCAAGGCGGTCCACAGCACACCTGGGCAGCCACGAACACACCCGAGGAGGCCACAAAAACGACACCTGAGCGGTTGAGAACAGACCTGAGCAGGTCAGCAGCGGCACCCAGGTGCGCCTCTGCATGTGGCACTTCCAGTACCAGGTCCGAGTCCCTCTGCTCAAACGTGAAGTTGCCTATATGGAGGATGGCTGCCAGTATTTTCAGAATTGAGTCCTGATGTATGGGGCATTTTAAGAGGGTTGGAGCAGAAACGACGAGGAAGGGAAAGAGAGACGCGAGAGCGAGTTGGTGACAAAGGGAGTGAGAGAGACAGGGCACGAGGTGCCTAAAAAGGAGCAGCTCGAAATATTGCTCCGAGGCTTTGCAGCTAAGGCACGTCACGTCTCGTGCATTGCTTGGTGTACGCAACCTCCATAATCCTTGAAGCCCAAGCCTATTCACACCTCACCCATCAACCCACCTGCTGATATCAAACCTCTTGACCCTCCAGCCTTCCCCTACTCCCTCTTTACAGTTCTAACAGATTGATCTCCCGCAGCTGCTGCCCTCGCGCCCACCCACCTGCTGCTCCCCTTGCCCACCCACCTGCAGCTGTGCGGTGATGCTGACAGCACGCATGGCTGCCATGGCGGCCCACAGATGCTCGCACATAAGCAGGAGGATAGCCCTCCCCACCCACTCTCTTTTCCTTTCATTGCCCTCACACTCCCCTCGTCTCCACCCACCTGCAGCTGTGCGGTGATGCTGACAGCACGCATGGCTGCCATAGCGGCCCACAGATGCTCGCACATAAGCAGGAGGATAGCCCTCCCCACCCACTCTCTTTCCCTTTCCTTGCCCTCACACTCCCCTCATCTCCACCCACCTGCTGCTGTGCGGTGATGCTGACAGCACGCATGGCTGCCTTGGTGGCAGCAAACTACATCTGACATGCCTCAAAAGTGGCCTGCTGGTGCCCTTACCCACTCACCTGCTGCTGCAATTGCCCACCCACCTGCTGCTGTGCGGTGATGCCAACAGCACGCATGGCTGCCATGGTGGCGGCAAACTCGTCGGCATCAGAGGCGCGGCCGGGCAGGTGGAAGCAGGAGCTCTGGTTGAGGTAGTGGAAGTGGTGCGCTCGTGTGCTTGGATCTGGGGGCAGCTGTAGGGCTGCTGCTTCCTGCATGGTGGGATGGGGTGGGAGGTGAGGCGATGGTTCTTGAGACGCCTCACTGTTCGTGCTGGGGTTGGGGAACAGCTGCAGCGCACTTGCTTCGTGTGTGGGAGCAAAGGGGAGAGACAGAAGGGAAGGTGAAGACAAGGGTTGCAAGGACGGAGGAATTGGATGAGCAAGGAGGGGAGGAGGGAGGCATCACTAGAAGACAAATGCGACAAGGAAGGTCATGGGTTGAAGGGGGCAGCGTGGAGAAGGAGGAGGGACAGGGGGTGCGGAGACATGATGCGACTGAATGGCATGACGATATGTTATTCCTTCCAGCTTGTATGTCTTCATACTCGCACCTCATTGGACAGCCCCTGGCACATGGCTCACCTGAGTGGACAGCGATTGGCACATCTGGTAGAAGATGTGGTAGCCAGCCGTTGGACAGCCGTTGGCACATGGCTCGCAGACAGCAATGTGCACCACATGTGACCAATTCATCAAGTATGTGCACTGCGCACCCCATGAGACAGCCAGCCCCTAGCACATGGCTCACCTGAGTGGACAGCCCCTGGCACGTGGGTTCACATTGCTCACCTCTTGAAACAGCGCCTGGCACATGGCTGGCTCACCTCATGCGACAACGCCTGCCACATGGCTTCACGTTCACACCTCACTGGACACCTTCTTACTAGATATGAGCACGAACCGAACTCAAACATGTTTGAGCAAACCTTTTCGAACCTTGCATGTTGGTCGAACCGAACCGAACAGGTTTGCTCGAACTTTTTTCAGAATTTTAAGGTTTGAGGTTTGAGTATACAATGGCGAACCCTAAAGGTTTGCTCAAACCTTTGAAGGTTTGAGCGAACTCGAACCTTTTAAGGTTTGAGGGTTAAAATGATGCACAAGTTACACTACAACACATGCATGTTTGGTTCGAACACATGGACAGCATCATGTTCTGAAAAAAGAAGCAAATGAGGAGGTAAAAAACAGTCACGACACTCCAATCGGGAAAGTCGACATGGGTCTTTTCTGGCGGGAATCAAATTCGAACCCCTCACGGTTCGAATTTCACCCTTTCGAACTTCGAACCTGTTCGGTTCGGGGTTATGTAATCTCGAACCAAAAAAGTTCGCGCGAACTTCGGCAAGGTTTGCGCAAACCTTTTTGGCAGGAAAAAAAAATCGGTTCGACATAAGTCGAACCGAACATCTCGAACCGAATCTAAGTTCGGTTCGTTGCTCATATCTGCTTCTTACACATGGCTTCACATGGCTAACTCACCTCATTCGAGAGCCCCTGGCACATCTGGTAGAAGATGTGGTAGTTGCGCTCGCAGTCAGCAATGTGCACCACTCGCGACCGCTCCAGCAGGTATGTGCGCACCGCCGCCCCCGTCAACCCACCCCCGCGCCCAAACTGCAGCTCGATGAACTTGCCAAAGCGGCTGCCAGTGGTGGGTAGGGGGCACAAAGTGGACAATGGTAAGGAGAAAAGGGATTTTTCAGTCAGATTCACCCGTTGAACTGAGCCCTCCCCTCCCCCTGCCCCCGTCAACCCGCCCCCGCGCCCACACTGCAGCTCGATGAACTTGCCAAAGCGGCTGCCAGTGGTGGTGGGCAGGGGGCACACAGTGGGCAATGGTAAGAGAAAGGGAGTTCTCAGCAAGATTCACCTCCTCAGCTGAGCTGAGCTCATCCCTCTCCCCAGTTCCCCCCTCTCGCCCGGACTGAAGCCCTATGAACTTGCAAAAGCGTCTGCAAGGGGGCACACAGCAGCAAGGCAATAGTGAGGACAGTTTCCAGCAAGGTGACTTTTGAGTCGACTTAAAAGTCACAGCGGCAAGGCAATGGTGAGGACAGTTTCCGGCATGATTCACTCCCTGAATTCAGCCCACCCTTCCCCTTTGTCCCGCCCCTTCATCCGGACTGCAGCTCTACTGCAACAGCTGCAATAGTGGGTAGGTAGGAACAGGCACAGTTAGGGATGAGCAATATAATGAACTCCTGTTCGGTTCGCCTCGACGAACAGGAATTTTTTTTTGCCTAAATTGTTCGGGGCGAACGTGTTCGGTGTTCGCCCGAACACGTTCGCCGTTCGCCCGGCTCAGCTGGCCGAGGCGTGTCGAACACGAACACGTTCGTGTTCGACACGGGCCTTCGACAAACACCTATGTGTTCGTCGACGAATAGGCCAGCGACCAAATTTTAGGTCGCGGGCCTTGGTGTTAGGGCTCAGATTTGGCATTTCGCCGTTACTTAAGTGCAGGTCTAGCACTTTGCCGTCAGTTAAGTGCAGATCTAGCATTTCGCCGTCACACGCTGGCACTAGCATGGATGAAGTAGGGCGGGACTGGCTTGGGGGGTGGGGGGAGGGAATGTGCAACGATTTGAATTTTACTCTATTTGGACCTTACAGCCACCTAACAAATGTCAACAATGCACAATCCACAAACGTGTGACTCTAGTGAATGTAGTCCCGGGGCGAACACGAACACGTTCGTGTTCGCCTGCGTCAACAAGGTGTTCGCCTTCACTGGCGAACGGCGAACACCCTTTTTTGCTAAAGCTGTCCGGCGAACCGAATCGTGCAGGGGCGAACGCGAACACGTTCGCGTTCGCCTCTTGCTCATCCCTAGGCACAGTGCACACAGAGGCAATGGTAAGGCGAGTTTCAAGTGAACTCCACGTTCCTCCTTGAGCTTACCCACACTTTCCCCTCCCCTCCCCCACTCCCACCGCCCAAAATGCAGCACGATGAACTTGCCAAAGCGGCTCCAGTGGTTCGTAGCACGTAGTGGCAATGGCACAGGGCGGAAATGGTAAGGGAAGTTTCATCTTCCAAGTCGACTCAACAGTCACCCTGTGAACCCACCAACCCCCTGGCTGCATCGCAGCTAGATAGACTTGCCAAAGCAGCTGCCGGTGGTGCGCATTGGGCACGAGGAAGCACTCAGCAAGGGCAAGAGGAGGGACAATGGCGATTGCAATGAGTGGCTTGTTACCAAAAAAGAGGCGAGTGGGCAGTGGCATTGGCATGGGCACCTTGAGTTGTTGTTCCTGAGAGTCTTGGCGTTTCCAAATGCCTCCAGAAGTGGATTGGCCTGCACACATATACAACGACAGCAGGAGTGAGTGAGACAGAAGGGGTAGATTAGATTCAAATCAAACGCCCACAAGAACCAAGGAAAAAAGTACACAACAGATCTTATAAACAACGTCCTGTACCTCCCAAGAATATTTACACTAGCATAATTTGACCCAACTACACGTCTGATAGCCTATAATTACCATCCACCACATAGCAAACAATCAGACCTACCTGAAGAACAAGGGACTCTATGCTCGGAGAGGCAGAGGGCGAACCAGGTGGGTGGATGTGCAGAGCGGGGAGGGAGGCGGAGGCAGTGGGGAGCACGGTGGTGGGGGATAGCAGGGAGGCGGGGTCACTGTGAGCAGCAGCACGGGCGAGGTACTCTATGATGAGCTTCGTGGTCTCTGTCTTGCCAGCTCCGCTCTCCCCGCTTATCAGAATCGCCTGGCTGCGACCCCCCTCCCTCATGGCCCTGTGTGTGAGCACGCGCAGTGGGGAAGACAGTGGTGGGGGGCGAGGGTAGGGAGGCAGGGTCGCTGTGAGCAGCAGCGCAAGTGAGATACTCTATGATCAGCTACGTGGTCTCTGTCTTGCCGGCACCGCTCTCCCCACTTATCAGAATCGCCTGGCTGAGACCCCCTTCCCTCATGGCCCTGTGCGCATGTGCAGCGGGTTGCACACAGCATGGCATGGAAGGTCATGTTTGCTACATAATGCATGCCCTGGCACGGCAAGTGATGGGTGTGTGTGTGTGTGTGTGTGTGTGTGTGTGTGTGTGTGTGTGTGTGTGTGTGTGTGTGTGTGTGACACAAGGGTTACTTTTTGACTGCTGCCAGTGTTACTGCAAGGGATCGAGGTCATGCTGGGAGGGAGAACGTGGATGAGGATTCTGCACATGCACGCCGTGCCTCACGCGTACCGGAAGGCGTTCTCTGCCGTGGCGAAGACGTGCGGTGAGAGCAGGCCAAGCGGCACGCCGTGGTACTGGCGCATCATTGCAGCGTCGTACAGCCCGGGTATGCGCACAAAGGGGTTCAGCGCTATCAGGATGGACCCTGTGTAGGTCTGGAGGGGAAGGGAGGGGGTGGTGGATGGGACGAGCTAGGAAAAATGAGTTCGAGGGAGTTGAAACAGGGAGGGGCTGGGAGATGGTGTGAGAGGGAAAGGGGGAATAACTGAGATGCAATGAGAGTGCTATGGATTGCACTTAAGGATAGCAGGCAGCTTGTTAAATTTCAGGAGGCGAGGCAACTGCACTTGCTGGTTTCCAACTGTGTGTGCGACTGAGGTCAAGGAACAAGAACGGCTGGCTGTGATTCAAGAACATCAGGCGCTGATACCAGGAAAACCAGCACCCATTGGCAAGGATTCAAAAGGGAACAGTGGGTGTGCAGTAGGGTGCGAGTGAGAGAGAGGACGCACGTAGACGAAATTGGAGATTTGTTAAAGGGTCAGCAGTGGGTGTGCAGCAGAGCGCGAGTGGTGAGAGAGATCACCGACGAGGATAGGTTGGAGATGAGTAAAAAGGTCAGCAGTGGGCGTGCAGAAGCGTGCAAGCGAGAGGGAGAGGGGGAGGGTGAGCGTGAGAGGACGCACATAGATGAGGTTGGCGCGGTAGCGGCGGCAGAGGTTAGAGAGCACGCCAGGCTCGTGCAGGCACGTGAGACGAACCATGTCGTCCAGCAGCGGGCCCTCGGGCTCGCGCATGCAGCACAGCGACGCGTGCACCTCCCATAGCTGCACGGGGAGAGGGGAGCAGAGCGGGGCGATGGGAATGAGGACGGAAGTAGGGCGTGAGCCGCATGTGACGGCTATGGAGGACGAATTTGCCGCGGATGATTGCACGGAGACGATGAGACGATGGTAATCGAAGCAATATGACTTTTGAGGCGGATCAAAAGGCGGATGAATGCACGGAAACGATGAGTCGATGGTAATCGAAGCAGGATGATGGGAAAGAATACGGTAAGGAGGACTACTGGGAGAAGAAGCGAAAGCACAGCTGCGCTGTGGGAGAATCGAATGACAAACGAGATCATTGCTCTGATCGCATGGCGTAGGGGTTCATAAGGACGTGGATACGGAGTCGAGGACGCGTCAGCCCACTACGGATAGTATTAAGAAGCATGAATGTATAATGTCAATCCTGAAGCGGAATGATATTTGCGAAACGCGTTCCTATGACCAGTCACGAATTTAGTCTGCTCGCGACGCATCACTGACGCGAACTAAGACCAGTAACTTCCGCGCAACAGGCGTAACAGTCGCCTTACGTCCGGCTTGGCGGGGTTATCGATTTTCACGGCCAGTTTGCCATCCCCCAGGTCCTCTACCACGCACCCCTCCTCCCACGCGACCTCAGGGTCAGGCACCCACACGTGCGCACCCGCGCGAAAGGTCTGCATCGCCTCGCCTGCCATGGCACGCGAGTGTGCAGACTATGGTTGCTATGATTGGAATACCGGTAAGTACAGCTCCATTGGAGCTGGAAGCATAATCTGCAGCTCCATTGGTTTTGTTGAAACCTCGATAATACCACTCGTCAGAGCGAAGCTGTGGTGTGGAGCAAAGGTCGAGGTGAACCCAAGGTGCCGCAGGGAATTCCCAAGAAAATATCGTAAGGTACAATAGCTTCACTTAGAATTTGGCTTTCTAATGCCTTTACCCATATCTTTCTACTTCATAATGACCAGTGGTCCTCTTTTCTGGCATCCTGCCCTGCCACCCCAATACATATCACTGCAGTTCCACATTTATGCATTGGCATGGTGTTTTCTATTGTATTAATCTCCACTATTTTAGCAACATGCACGCATGTATAGCAGCTACTTCGACAATGATGCGCAAATGGCACGGTTGATTCATATATATTAAGTACGTCCATTGCTGCATGCGTGGTGTGGCCATTAAACTACCCCACTAGTTAGTCTCATGTTAAAAATAAAATATAACTAGCATGTCAAATGTTATAGTCTTAGTGATGTGTATTATAGGGGGTACAACCAGGGCTGATTTTATCAGGGTAATTACCCTGATTTCAGGGTGATTTCAGGCTTTCCACTTCGTGGAGACTGAAATTTCAGAGTTATTGAATTTCCAGCCCTGATCCAATCAGAGTAATAGTTTAGCTATCCCTGATTTTGAGTACAGTGTAACAGACTAGGCTGTTAGTGGACCCTGACTTAACAGAGTATCGGCTGTGTGGACCCTGACTTATCGAGAGGAAGTTTCTCGGAAGTTTCTTTTCGATGACCCCGCCTTGGATTGATCGCAGTGATCCCCCCATATGTGCGTAATCCCCCCCCTTCCCGCTTTATCGAGACGAAGTTTCTTCGAAACTTTGTACTGATTGAAACTTCGAGACTTTATGGAGAGTGGGGATATTTTCCCCGACTTATCGAGAGAAAGTTTCTCGGAAGTTTCTTTCCGATGACCCCGCCTTGGATTGATCGCAGTGATCCCCCCACATGTGTGTAATCCCCCCCCTTCCCGCTTTATCGAGACGAAGTTTCTTCGAGACTTCGTTCTGATCGAAACTTCGAGACTTTATGGAGAGTGGGGATATTTTCCCCGGTAACAAAGCGTGCGTTACTACTCTGATGTTCAGTTCTCGACCCTGAACAATCAGTGTTAACTACTTTACAACCCTGAGCAATCAGGGTACTGCTTTTCTGGAAAATGTGCACCCATAATAGAGGGGGAAAATTTTCCCCGGAATCAGGGAAGCTTAAAATGAAACGTCAGCCCTGGGTACAACTATTAGGGTTAGGTTTATGTACCCCAACCAACCTTAATGAAACCAACACTTTCATTCTTGACATGGTATCACCTAGGTTAGGATCCTGTAGGATCCCGTTCCTCTCGTTCCCGTTCGTAGCGCCCGAGCCTGTCCCGTACCCTAGTGCCCGTTACGCCCGTACTGTCCCCTAGCGCCTCTCACGCTCGTCTCTCTCGTGCCCTAGCGCCCGCTGCGCCTGCGTCGCGTCGCCCCTGCTGTCCCATCCCGTCCCGTCGCCCCTGCTGTCCCGTCCCGTCGCCCCTGCCGTCGCGTTGCCCTTGCTGTCCCGTCCCGTCCCGTCACCCCTGCTGTCCCGTCGCCCCTGCTGTCCCGTCCCGTCGCCCCTGCCGTCGCGTCGCCCCTGCTATCCCGTCCCGTCCCGTCCCGTCCCGTCGCCCCTGCTGTCCCGTCGCGTCGCCCCCTGCTGTCCCGTCCCGTCCCGTCGTCCCTGCTGTCCCGTCGCGTCGCCCCCCTTCTGTCCCGCCGCGTCGCACCGTCCGTCCCGTCCCGTCCGCGTCGCGCTTCCCGTCCCGTCCCGTCGCACGCGCCCCCTGCGCCCTGCCCGTCCGTCGCGCCCCATGCGCCCTGCCCGCCCGTCGTGCCCCGTGCGCCCTGCCCATCCGTTGCGCCCCGTGCGCCTTGCCCGTCCGTCGCGCCCCCGCTGCGCCCTGCCCGCCCGTCGCGCCCCGTGCGCCCTGCCCGTCCGCGATCGTCCCTGCCAGTCGCGTCCGTCCCATCGTGTCGCACTGTCTGTCACGCCTAATGCAAGCCCTTTAGGCGTTTAGGGTTTCGGCAGCAGCAGTATCCACCTCTACGCTTTCGCTATGGCGACCCCTAGGGTCCTGCGCTTTGACGCTGAGGGTAGGCCACTCGAGTTCTCGGTCTGGCTCCTGCGTGCGCGCCGGTTCAGGCACACGAGACTCTGTGGGCACACGCTTCCGGTGACCTACCTGAACCAGCTGACCCTGCACCCTTAGCAGCTGACCCCATACCTGCAGACAGTGACCGTTATACACGTGAGCGCGCTGACGTGACATCGTGGAAGTCGCGTGACGTTGCGGCCTGCATCGCCCTCAGCAGCCTCCTCCTTGAGTCTGAGGAGACCCACTTCACTCAGGTTCGCACGGCTAATGAGTTCCTGACTGCGATCAAGGCCCGCTACGCTACTCCCACCACTGTCTCTCTTGGTCGCCTGTTCCTTCCGTTCCTGTTTCCTGACCTCGCCTCGTTTGAGCGCACTGCTGAATTGATCACTCATCTGCGCTCGCTTGATTCTAGCTACCGCGCTGCTTGCACTGACGCACAGCTTGCACTGCTCCCTCCCCCCATGGCGATTACTATCTATTTCATCACCACTAGCCTCCCTGGCCGCCTTGCTTCGGTTCGTGACGCGCTTCTTCTGAAGCACCCTAGCGAGCTCACTATTGAGGTCCTTGAGTCGGCCCTCAAGGAAGTCGAGAGCAACCTCCGCTCGGTAGCCTCTGCCTCTGGTGTTGTGCCCCCTCCACTATTCCACGGGTGCACTGTCCCTCAGCTGCCCACCTTTACTGCCTCCCTCGCCACTGCCGCTACTGACGTGACCGCAGCTGCTGTTACGACTTCTTCGCGGTCTTGGGGTAGGAGTGGCAGGAGGGGCGGTCAAGGTGCGGGCGGAGGTGGCGGAGGCGGCGGAGGCGGTGGGGGTGATATGGCGAGCGGCGGCGGCGGGAGTGCAGGCGCTGGAGGAGCGCCTCGTGCAGCGGCCGGTGACTCCCCTGCTGCAGCTGGTGGAGGTGACGCCCGGGTTCGTCAGCCACCTACTGGTCTGCCAGCCGCAGGGGGTGGAGCAGCGGCGTGGTACCTGACTCAACGACAGCAACAGCAGCAGTAGCCCCTCCCCTCGCAGCAGCCACAGCAGCAGCAGGTTTCGGGGCAGGGGTCAGGACCGCGCCAGTTGCAGCGCGGTGTCATCCACCCTCCCTGCACCTATCACGTTCTGATAGGTGCCCGCCGCAGCCAGCCTTGTGGCCGCAGCCACCGACCGGGTCAGTGCTTTGCTCAGCTTACTGACATGGTTCGATTGGCCTACGGCGTTGACGGCCCTGCCCCTGACTGGCTTCCCCTTGTTCAGACATACGGCCTGCTCTGTGGGGCATGTCGGCTTCTCAGTTGGTTGATCTCTTCGGAACTCCTCATGCTATGTATGCTGTTGTTGACTCTAGTGCTTCTGACTCTGTTTACTCGAGTGTTGTTAGCTTAGGTGCTAGTCTTGCTGAGGTGCATGTTGCTAGTGCAGGTACTTGTGTAGACACTAGTCCAGGAGCTGCTCCGGAGGACGCTTCGCTGTCTTTCACTCTGGACTCCGGAGCTTCCCACTGTTTCTTCCGCGACCGCACGACACTTACCCCGCTTCCTACGCTGGTCTCTGTAGGACTGGCTGATCCCACTTCGGGACCAGTCACTGCTCGCTACACTACTATGCTTCCGTGCCTGGATGTTCCCTCCGGTTCTTTGACCAGCTTCCACGTCCCCTTGTTCTCGAGGAACTTGGTGGGCATGAGGCTGCTCGTGAGTTAGCACGTGGGTGTGTGGATTGAGCCTTCTGGCGAGACTGCGGTTTGTGTCGACGGGGACACGTACACGCCTCTTGCCACCTTTACCGCTGAGCCAGGCTCTGGTCTCTACACACTTCACACTGGCCCCCGAGGGCAGAAGCAGCAGCAGCACCAGCAGCAGCACCAACAGCAGTGACAGCAGTAGCAGCAGCAGCAGCGCCAGCAGCAGCAGCAGCAGCTACTGCCCCCGACCCCTGTCACTGTCCCCCATCAGGTTCTCGTGTCTCTCCAGGTTGCCACGTCTCCTCAGGTAGCTGTGTCTGGTCAGGTTCCAGTGCTGGTCCAGTTGCTGCGTCGTGCTCCTGCCGGTTGCTTGCCCACCCCACTGTTTTATGGCACCACCGGATGGGGCACCCGTCCATTTCTCGCCTGCGCGCTATGTCTAGTTAGCGTCTTGTCTTAGGCCTCCCGCGTGTCTTGCCGTCGTTGCCGCCTTCGCTTGCGCCACCCTGTGGTCCCTGCGTCGAGGGTCGGCTGCGCGCCACCCCTCACTCCTCCCTTCGTCCGGCCACCGAGCCCTTCGAGACTCTCCACTTGGACGTCTGGGGCCCCGCCTCGCGCGGTGGCCCTGAGCGAGAGAGTTTCTTTCTCGTGGTCGTTGACGACTACTCCCGCTACACCACAGTGTTCCCCCTGGCGAAGAAGTCCGACGTGACTTCTATGCTGATCCGATGGTTGCTTACCACTGCGGACACTCGCGGTCGTCGTGTCAGCTGTCTTCACTCCGACCGTGGGGGTGAGTTTCGCTCTGGCATTCTCGCTAGATTCTGTCGCGAGCAGGGCATCCGTCAGTCCTGGACGCTTCCAGAGTCCCCACAGCAAAATGGGGTTGCTGAGCGCCGCGTAGGCTTGGTCATGGAGATCGCCTGCACCTCCATGACTCACACCCATGCCCCCCATTTTCTGTGGCCCTACGCAGTTCGGTACGCCGCTCACCAGCTAAACCTTTGGCCACGTGTCTCTTGGCCAGAGGTTTCACCGACCAGTCTTTGGACCGGGTCCCCTGGTGCTACGTTGCGTTTTCGTGTCTGGGTTGCTTGGCACTTGT